GGGGGGGGGGGCTCTGAGGAAGCAGTGAAAGGGCTATCTAGATGATCTTCTGCCAGCTGGAAGCTTGACCCATGCCCACCCTGGCTCTGTGGGGCTGAGGACGCTGAAGTTATCACTGCCTCATTACGTGTGTGTGTGTGTGTGTGTGTGTGTGTGTGTGTGTGTGTGTGTGTTCCAACAGCTTTGAAAGAATCTGTGATTCCTTCCCTTCTGATAAGATCCTCTCTGAATCCATTGGTGTTAAATAAACTATTATCTAGTCACCAAACTTTTGAGAGAATGTTGTTTGAGGCACTGGGGGCATATTAAATACAGTATGGAGAAGTCATTTGTTTATTATTTAGGTTTACAAGACCACCAACCATACTCAAAAGGCACATTTTCTGTCTGGATTAAAAAAAAAAATCTGTAAAATATCATTAAAATTCACGTGCTACAGTTCCCAATGCACAGAGTGGCTAACAGTGTCCCTTTGATTTGGGGCTACTATAGACTTACACAGCTGTCCTCCTGTAATGCCAATTCACTACTGACTCTGGGCACATGCAGACCCACTCAGACCCATGTTATCTCTGGATGGTCAGAAACTGTCCTGACGGAAGAGGTTTGTCCTCCAGACTCACCGCTGTTGCTGGTTCAGGGGAGAAACCGTGGCTCAGGAGCCCTTGCCCACCTTTGGGTGGCACCCCAGTTGTGTCCTTACCCAGGAAAGGAGGACCTGGTGGCCCTGTAGCTCAAGCCCCTGTTTAGACGGCTGCAGTGCGCTTTACCTGAAGCTAAAGACCGCTTGGATGCTCAGCCACAGAGCCCAGCATGATGGGCTGGCTGGTTTCTGTCGCTGGGAATGTATTGTGCATATCCGTCAGGCCCGCACCGGCTGCTACCTATTAGCATCTGGGTGTCATTTAAAGTCGTGGGGTTTTTTTAACCTATAAAGCCCTTTATAGCTTGGCTCTCACCTGAATGGTCCCAGCCTCTTAGATCATCCAGGGAAAATCTGCTTGCGGTTCCCTGTCCTCCAGGTGATATAAAGGGAGCTGGAGGCAGCCAGGGCCCACCGGTACGGTCATCCTGGACAGTTCTGGCTGGTCCAAGAGCCTTCGGGAAAAGGTTGAGGATGCGGCTCTTCTGGGGAGGGTGGGAACCTTCTGGGGCTCACCCTTTTGTCCTTATTTCCCTGTTAACAATTTTTTAAGCTCACCAAGGATGTTTAATGTTTGCTTTCTACAACGTGAGCAGGGTACAAGCCAGATCTACAGTAAACAAACGATGGTCTCCTCCTTGCTTCCTCAGAAGACCTGGTGGTCCATCTTTCTGCAGCCATCGAACTTGGAAACGAGGAGGAGGCCATGCGGTGCGCTTCCTTGCTTGCCCAGCAGCACACAGCCCTGCACATCCAGCTGAAGGAGTCCTGCTACCCTGCCAGCCAGATCAGGTGAGTCAGGAGGGAGGGAGGGAGGCCTCCTTTTCGGGGGGCTCCTCTTCTTTAACCGGTGCTCGCTTCCTCTTAGCATGAAGGTGCAAGTGGAAGACGCCTCCTGCTCCGCCAACATCACGGCCCGGGTCCACATGCACACCACAATCGCCGCCCTCAGGCACCAGGTACTCGGCTCGCTTCCTCTCCCCTCCGGGCCTGCCTCTGGAAAGGGGGCGTTGGGCTGACTTGTGGGGCAGGGCTTGGTTGACGGTCCGGCAAAGCATGCTTGGAAGGCCTGCTTAGGCCCTGGAGCTGCGCAGCCCCCATGTGCCCGCCTGCTTTGCCCACCAGGTCTTTCAGGATTACGGATTCCACCCCACTGTCCAGCGCTGGATTATTGGGCAATGCCTGTGTGTGGACAACCGAACGGTCGGGTCCTACGGAATCCGGAAGGATGGCGATACGGCCTTCCTCTACCTGCTCTCAGCAAAGGGAGCCAACCTCTCCGAGCAGCGTTACAAGGAGGACAAGGACTGGGTGGTGCTCCAGCCACCCCCCTCCTCCATCCCTGGCAGCTCTGACGGCCGGCACAGAGGCGTAGCCAGTTCTTTGCCGAACAAAGGTGAGCTGGGAAAACACGTCCTTTCCACCACCCCCTCAGGAGGAGGTTCGTGTTCCAGCGCTGGCCTTCAGCCCCTGCTTGGAAGGTGGCCGGGCTGATGCCAAGGCTTTTCTGCCCACAGGCGGGAAAGAGCCCAACAAGAAGACGGACCTTGGAGAGATCACTCGCTTCCTGGACTCTGTGCATATGAGTAAAATCCTTCCGTGCCGCACTCGATCCCCCACGACCCCAGCTGCTGGCCCCAATTCTCCTGTGCAGGTAGGTACATGCCGGGGCGGGAGTCGGCTCCCCTCTGCCCCCAGTCAGCTGACATCTGACCCCTGCCCACGTGCCCTGCTCTCCCGTGGACAGCCTTGACTCGCCGCTGCCCGGCAGGTGGCACTGAGGCAGGGCTCCCTCCCTCCCTCCTCTGCCCAGGCCGGCTGGTCGTGTCCCACCTGCACGTTCATCAACAAGCCCACCCGCCCCGGCTGCGAAATGTGCAGCACCGACCGCCCTGCTGGCTACGTGGTCCCCGGGAGCTACCGGCCAGACGAGGTGGAGCGCTGGCGGATGCAGCAGGAGAAGGAGGGCATCCTGCAGTACCAGAAGGTAGGCCGTTTGCGGTGGGAGTAAGGATGGGGCGGTGGGGGGGAACCCCTTCTCTTTGTTGGAAGCATTTTGCCTCACAGGCAAAAGAGCTGGCAACCTGTCTCTGCCTGGGCTCAGGCCTTCCACCCGCTGAAGCCCCATCTTGCTGAACCAGCTCCCACTCAGCCTGGGAGAGACTGCGGATCGGCCAATGCAAGGCTGTGTTTTTAAAATGCCCAATTCTTAAAAGCTGAAATTGTAGATTTAAAATGTACTTAAAGTCTGTGCTCCTCCAACCGCGTCAAGGCAGTGAAAGTACACACATTCCCCCAAGGCTGAAAGAGCAGGCACCGATCCTTGCTCCAGAGGGAGGTTTGCAACCCTGGGAGCGCTTCCCCTGAGAGTGTGCAGAGTGTGGGTGTGTCAGAGCCCTCCCTTGGGGGCCTCTCCAGAAGGGCCTCCCCTTCCGCAGATCTTAATGCTGGAACTCCCTTCGTGGGGGAAGCAGCACCTCTGCCAGATACAGCTGTGTCTGGGGAGCAGCTGCAACCAGCCCAGGCCTTTCTCCATGCTGGCATCCCCGGAGGCAGCTCCCGGCCCCCTTTGGGGGACACTTCCACGGAGAACGCGTGGGGGAGGCCGGGCTGGGATGTCGGCCGGGGTGGGCACGGTTGCCCAGTTCGACAGGCTGAGGAAGAGGTGTAGCAGCATCCCAGGCGGCTGTGGCAGGTGAAGGCTGAGCCGTCCGGTTTCAGGTGTGTGTGTGGGGGGGTCTCCTCCAGTGGGACTGTACAGAACTCGGGACTCTCTGTGTGACTCGTAAGGACCGGCGTAGACGAGCATTGTGTGTTATTAAAGCTTTCTGCGTACAAGTAGAAACGCCGTGTGCGTTTTGTCTTTTTATAACTCCTGTGGCTTTTGTGAAAGTGACCCTTGCCGTTTCTGTTAATGCTTTGTGTAAGAAGCCTTCTATTATACCAGGGGTAGGCAACCTTGGCTCTTTTATGACTCGTGGACTTCAACTCCCAGAATTCCTGAGCCAGCTTAGCTGGCTCAGGAATTCTGGGAGTTGAAGTCCACGAGTCATAAAAGAGCCGAGGTTGACTACCCTTGTACTATACTGTTGTTGTTTTTTTATTTTATGCGGCATCCTGTACCCTGCAAGAATTTCTCCATCTTTGAGGCTTCCGGGGGGGGGGCTGTGGCCCCCGACCAGGCTTGTGGGGAGGGAGTGGAAAGCGAGGGGGAGGCAGCGGTTCTCAGGGCCCCTGATGACTCTCTTCTCTTCTTTCTTTTTTCTCTTGTGGCAGGAAAAGGGAAGGAGAGAGGACAGTCCAGCCGTGCCCTATGCCCACAACCCTGGGCCCCTGGACGACTTCATCCACCTCTCCTCGGAGTTCTCGTAGCTGCACTCGCAGCCCTGCCCAGCTCCTCTGGCGCCACAGGCTCTTTGCCCCGACTGAGGCGGGCAGCAGAGCCCTCCCTTGAGAAAGAGAGAGAGAGAGAGAGAAACGGGCATGGCCCCGAGGAGGGGCAAGGGGGAGCTACGCTTGGCCTCCGTTCCTTTACCCAAAGATTCAGGCCAGGGTTGCCGTCCCCTGTTGGGACTGGGAACCCCCTGGGGGGGCCGGGTTGCAGCCAAAGGAAGTGGGAGGACAGGCCAGGCTGCCAGTGGGGACTGAGGGCCTCCCTGCCACCCTCCCCAACTGCCTTGTGGAGCTGCTGGGCCTTGACAGGCCGGTCTCTGCCCCGGAAGCAGCCTGAGGGTTAGGCAGCGTGTGGTGCGAGAGGGAGGCTGCAAACGGAGGTGCCCCGTTGAAGTCCTCCACTGCCTCTGTGGGATGCGCTTCGGAGAGTTTTAGAAGGTTGTCCTTTGGCCAGGTTCCTTGGCAGGAGACGGATGGGCTGGGGAGGCAGTGGCCCGCTGGGGCCAGGCGTTACTGAGCGTGTCCCAAGCCGGGGAGCCCCAGGACCAGGGGACCTTTTCTTGGGGTGCTTGGGCCCGGCCTGCCTGCTGGTGAGCATCAGCAGAGGGCTGAATTCTAGAGAGCAAGGGGCTTCCAAGTCCTTCCCTGGAGGTGGCTTTGGGTACCGTTCTGAGATGGGTTAATTTCTGCATCTTGCATTTGACGTTTTGAAATGAATTGAAGAACTTGTTCCATTAAAAGATGCCTTTGGGCCAGGTGGCCCAGCCAGTGAATCTGCGTTGCTTTTTTGACTGAGCCAGGGAGGGAGGGATTCTCCCCCCCCCCCCACTGAAAGCAAGTGGGGAAGACGTCCTTGTGTGGAATTCCCTCAGGAGAAGGTCTGGGGAACAAAGAGGACCCCTGTTAGAGGGGCCACATCGGATTCAGGGTCACCTTGCTGCCCTCCGGAGCTTGTAAGGCGCCTTCCCTCGTTGCAGCTGGCATCCCCCCCCCCTGAGGGAATCACGTGGCCGAGCTCCTGTGCTGACATCCTCGTGGGGGCTCCCTCTGCACCTGTTGGGGCAGAAGGGGTTTGAAAGAAGAGGGAGAATGGAGTGGGGAGAGGGAGGGTGGAGCCCTTCCATCCCACCCCCCGAAAAACCCAGAGTCCCTTGACCACAGCTCTTGAATCAATGCGTGACCGCCTCTCGTGGGTACCAGGTTCATGAAGTCTGGGTGGGTGGGGAGGAATCCTGCCTCTTCTGCATAAATTAAAAAAAAAACCATCCAGAGTGGGTGAGAGTGGGGCAGCATATAAATTTAATATTACACTTATTGTACAACATCGGAGGAAAGGGGCGTAGAGAGTTGCCTTCCCAAGAAATGGATCTGTAGTTTTGTCAGCAGGGACGGCGTTTTTCCACCTCCCCCCCGAAAAAAAACCCCCAATATCTTTGCTTGCTGTGTACACGCGCTAATCTAATGTGCTACCCCCGTTTTGCCATTGCCTGGGTTTACAGGCTAGGACAGGGGTAGTCAACCTTGGCTCTTTTATGACTCGTGGACTTCAACTCCCAGAATTCCTGAGCCAGCATGGCTCAGCATGGAAACCTCTCCCTTTCCCCTCAGCATGGCTGGCTCAGGAATTCTGGGAGTTGGAGTCCATGAGTCATAAAAGAGCCAAGGTTGACTACCCCTGGGCTAGGATGTAATCTTATGTTTCACAGCTAAGTGGCTGAATTAACAAATTAACCCTGTTTTCTACCAACCCAGTTAGCTTCTTTTGATCCCCCTCCCCAGTGCCACCCTGAAGGCCTGGATGGGCAACTGCTCGAAAGCCCCAGCAGAACCCCGGCTAGAGTCACTGAAACCCAGAGGAATGGGGGAGGGGGGGCTGTCTGTTTTAGCAAAAGGTGTGCAGGAGCGTCATTCAGCACTGCCCCAAAGATGTTTCTGAACAGACCAGCCTGGCCTCGGGGAGCAAAATGCAAGGTGGGGGAGCATCAGTCCTCGGCCTCGGGGAGCAAAATGCAAGGTGGGGGGGGAGCATCAGTCCTCGGCCTCGGGGAGCAAAATGCAAGGTGGGGAGGGAGCATCAGTCCTCGGCCTCGGGGAGCAAAATGCAAGGTGGGGGAGCATCAGTCCTCGGTCGCTGTGCAAGTTGGGCCCTTCTGAACGGTCCTGAGCTGCCAGGGCCCCAGGAAGAGGGTACAGCTGGGCCTGGTGGGAAGCAGGGCCGCTTGGTTTCCTCTGGTTCTCAAAATAAAAGTGACCCTATTGCCTTTTTAAATATAGGTGTTCTGCAGGAAAATACGTGCCTTTTTTAAAAACGGAAAGCCTGCAATAGCAATACGTAAAACCCCAATCCCAACAGATGGCTCAAGAGCCGGGAGAGTCAAATGGAAGGATCTGCTTGCTTTGGGAGACGTTTATCCTGGTTGGCTTCAGATCAGTTCAGGATCCATTTTGTTTGTTTGTTAAGCCATTGGATGAGCCCAACCTTCACCAGCAAAGCCAGGGTCTTGGGCAAACCGTGCCTTATCCATGCTGTAGGTCAGGGCTTTTCAACCTTTTCACCCATTGTGCCACTTTTAGGATAGGGCAACATCCAAGGACCACCAGTCGCCTAGCAAGGTGTCAAAAACTTGATGACCCCCCCCAAAAGGAAAAAAGTGATAAAGTACAGGTAGTCCTCGACTCACAACAGTTCGCTTAGTGACTGTTCGAAGTTACAATGGTACTGAAAAAAGTGCCCCCCAAGCCACAGCCGAGTAAGACGCCTGTCCGCCCGGCGGCGCTAGCATTTCTGTTGAGGATTGGAAGAGGGGGTGGGTGGGGGGGTGTTTGGTTTTTATTCCCCCCATCTGCCGGGTGGTTGCAGCAGGTTTTGGTCACTTCACATGACCCTGGGACGCTGTGACCGTCATAAATATGAATCAGTTGCCAAGCATCTGAATGTAAATCACAAGACCCTGGAGAGGCTGCAACGTTCCAGCTGATCGGCGCTTCTTCTGGGCTCAGCGGAAGTGTCAGGATCAGCACCAAGCTCCAGCTGGAGCCTGGCGCTAATCCTGGCACTTCCGCTGAGCCCTGACAGCCCTGAAGAAGCGCCGATCAGCTGGAAAGCGTCACTGATCCTGGCACTTCCACTGAGCCCTGACAGCCCTGCAGCTCCAGCCATCTCTCGCTCAGGCTTGTGTGGTGCTGCCACCGGTTCAGCTCATTCCCCTCCCCCATTACCACTTTTCTAGGGTGGTCACGTACCACCTGCCAGGTGCCAGTGTACCACAGGTGGTACCCGTACCCCTGGTTGAAAAGCCCTGCTGTAGGTCACCCATCCACTGGGATCGGCAAAAATGCCACAATGGGCTTGTTTGACTTGGCACAGGGAGTAATTATTGTGCATCCCAAAGTAATAATAAAGTTGAAGGGACCTTGGAGGTCATCTAGTCCAACCCCCTGCTCAGGCAGGAAACCCTATACCATTTCAGACAAATGGCTGCCCAGTCTCTTCTTAAAAACTTCCAGTGTTGAAGCATTCACCGCTTCTGGAGGCAGGTTGTTCCAGTGTTCTGTCAGAAAATTCCTCCTTAATTCCAGGTTGCTTCTCTCCTTGATGAGTTTCCCTCCGTTGCTTCTTGTCCTGCCTTCGGGTGCTTTGGAGAATAGCTGGACCCCCCTTCTTTGTGGGCAGCCCCTGAGATATCGGAAGACTGCTATCATGTCCCCCCTTATCCTTCTCTTCATTAAACTAGATAGACCCAATGCCTCCAACCGTTCTTCGTATGTTTTAGCCTCCAGTCCCCTAATCCTCTTTGTTGCTCTTCTCTGTACTCTTTCTAGAGTCTCAGCATCTTTTTTACATCGTGGTGACCAAAACTGGGTGCAGTTATCCCAAGTGTTCAGGGACTGCAACTGCAGGATGCAAAAGCCCCTTGAGCACATCCTGAGCCTCGCCTTCTGCTTTCTTTGCCAGAAATGGAGCTCAGGGGTCTTTTGCATAAACTCCCCTCTGCAACTTCACCCTTTAGTTCAATGGGAAAGGTGGCTGCCTGTGGAAGGTGTGATCAACCTTCTGGTGCCCATGAAGGAGTTGACCTAGTTCACAGGACCTTTTTTTCCCATTGAAGTTTTGGATACCAAAGGCTTCCCCAGTGTTTATCATGGGAAGTGCTCTGTGCCGGGGTCACAAGGACGAATATGCAAGAGCCCTTTGTGGGGGGCTGGCCTTGGCTGGAGTGACCCTCTGCTTGAAAGAAACCAGTGCCCAGTGTGGGAATCCTGGACCCCCGGGGCCAAGGGGTTGCCTGGGAAGGGCAAGTAAGGGTGCAGCGGGGAAGGGGAGGGGCTTGCCTGACTCACATCAAGCTCCATTGGGGTTGGCTAATAGAAATGGGTGGACCCCCTGCGCTGGTGTGCTGGTTGCTGCTTGGCACTAAATCCTTGAAGAGACCCCTCAATCTGTCCACCCAGGGCAGGACCCTTGCCTTCCGCTTGGTGAGGGTCTTCTTCAGACCGTCCTCTGTGAATTCCAGTTTTCCTCTAATGACCCTGGAACGTTGTGTTGAGATTTTGTACAGGAGAATATCGCCTTTTTTTGCTGGTTATGGCTTCATGAATAACTTTTTTCAGTGCTCCGTCCTTCCCCAACAAGGGCCTGTTTCACGTGCTTTAATAGGCAGTGGTGAATTCTATTACCTGCTCTGATGTTATTGGTTCCCTCGGCAGTATCCCGATACGTATATTTTATTGAGCACTCTCCTTTCAGGGCTGCTGTCTTGAGTTCAGCTGCCTTGGGCTAGCTTTACAGGGAGCGAGTGGGTTTCAAAGGTGACAAAATGATTCACTGATAAATAAGCAGCTTTTAAAATAACGGTGAAGGGCTCTGGTGAGCAACAATATGGCTTCCTCGTTCTCTCTAGGGTGGGATGGAAGCTTTCAGCTGGGAAGCTGCTGCAGAAACGCCCCGGACCCCTTGATTCCCCCCTGCTTGCGAAGAAGGCGCCTCCTCAGGGGCTGAGGCTCAGGCCAGGCTGGGCTGGGCATGCCTGGAACACCGAAGGGGTTTCTATTGTAAACCCCGCTGGCAAAATCTGCCTCGTAGCATCCGATGGGTGCTGTGCCCTCTGGAGGGGCAGAGAAAGGCACCCCGGTCAGCAGTTGGGCATGCATTGCAGGAGGATAGCCAGGGTGGGGAGGCAGCAAGGAGGGGGTGGCTCTTGGACCTGAAGTGCCCTTAAGGCTGGCTCCGTTGTCATCCCAGCAGCTTCAGCTGCCAAGGCCACAGAGATGTCCCCGTTTCTCAGTTGTGCTGCCCTCATCCTGTGCCCTCGCAGGGCCTTCCGTGCCAGAGGGCTCTGGGAAGCGGGGGCGATGTGCAGTAGGCATTTCACACAGTTGTGCCAGTAACACTTCCAGGGATTCTGCTCCGAGCCTTATTGGAGCCGGAGCCTCCATCCCGCCTCCCTTTTGCAACCCTCGGGCTCTGGTTGTGGGGCGCTCTGCCTTTCAGGCCTCTGGCGGGCTCCCAAAGGGCCTCGGGGGTCCCTTTTCTGCCATCTGCCAAGCCCAGCTTCCTGCCCTTCCTCCTGCAGGCCCTGGAGCAGGAGCGGCGGCAGAATTTCCAGCAGCTGTGCCAGCTGGAGGACGAGGCTCTGGTGCCCAACCAGGAGGAGATGGAATGCCGGATCTGCTACCTGAAGGTGGAGCCGGGCAACGGGGTGATGCTGAGGGAGTGTCTGCACAGCTTCTGCAGGTGAGACGCCTCGCAGGAGGCAGGGCTGGGCCCCGCCTCAAGCCCTGCTCTGAGCCACCCTCTCCTCCCACAGAGACTGCCTGCGCCAGCTGGTCAACTGCAACCAGGACCCCCAGGTGTCATGTCCCTTTCGAGACGATTCCTACGCCTGCACCAGCCACCTCCAAGACCGGGAGATCCGGGCGGTGAGTCCAGACTGGGAAGCTGCCAGAGGAGCGCCTGAAGGCACCTACAGAGGGTGGCTGGCAAACACAAACACACACACACACACACACAACCTCTTGGCAGGGCTCTGAGCCATCTCCTCCCCCTCCGCAGCTGGTGACCTGGGCTGAGTACGAGCGCTTCCTGGAGCGCCGGCTGGCTGTGGCCGAGAGCCGGGCGCAGAACAGCTACCACTGCCGGACAGCCGACTGCCTCGGCTGGTGCGTCTACGAGGACGACGTGAACGAGTTCCGCTGCCCCATTTGCTGGGCCCTGAACTGCCTCGTCTGCAAGGTGGGCCCAGCGGGTGACGCCTCGGACCTCCCGCCCTGGCTTGGACTGGGAGCCAGACAAAGCGGGGGAATGTTGGCAGGAGGGAGACACCCGAGCGCCCCATTTGCACCCTTCAGCTACGCCTGCTGCTCGTTTGCAGGCTTCTCCCACGAGACCGGCAGCCAGAAACAAGTCCCCCTCTTGTTTTTCCCTGCGTTCCTCCCCTGCCAGGGATGGCTGGTTCCTAAGGCCCCGGGTTCAAGTCGGTGGACTTGGCAAGAGTTGCGGCCCTCTGCCCAGCAGAGCAGAGCCCTGACAGAGGAGCCCATCTAAACCTTGCTGGGGGCAGCTGCTCCAGACGGGGGTGGGTTCTCACCCCTTCCGCAGAGGGGGACCTTGCGGGGTGGAAGGGCTGAGCCTGAAACGGCCTCTGCCCGCAGGCCATTCACGAGGGCATGAACTGCAAGCAGTACCAGGACAAGTTACGCTCCCAGGCTCACAACGATGCCGCTGCCCGGGAGACTAACAACATGCTGAAGGTGAGCAGCTCTCCCCCCCCCCAGGGGGCAGGGGCCGGCTCCTTCGCCAAGGAGCCCGTGCCTTCCAAGCAGCTGACGGTCCCCTCTGTCCCGGCAGACACTGGTGCAGATGGGGGAGGCCATGCACTGCCCCGCCTGCCGCATCGTGGTGCAGAAGAAGGGCGGCTGCGACTGGATCAGGTGCCCCGTCTGCCAGACAGAGATCTGCTGGGTGACCAAAGGCCCACGTTGGGGGCCGGGGGTACGTGTCCTCAGTGGGGAGGGAGGAGGCAAGGAGGGCCAAAGTCTTCCTGCTGGGGAGGGGGCTAAGGCAGCACCTGCCCAGGGAGCAGGCCAGGCCCCCCCCTGCTCTTGCGCGGTCCCAAGCCATCCGGTCGCTGGGCCTGGCTGTCCTCTGGGGAGCCCACAGGTCTTCTGCCTGGGCCCGGCAGTGTGGAGCTCTTGTAACAATGGGCCATTTCCGCATTTTAGAAGGCAGGTGTGTGTGTGTTTTTGTGTGTCTGCGCAGCCTGGCTTCTTTCCGCCAATTGCCAAAGTGGGTCCCTTCGGAGCCCCATCAGATCACCTGCCCCAAAGCAGGCAGGGGCCAGGATAGCCAGGCCTCAGGAAGACGGCAGGCTTTGGAAAACCGGGCCTCAGCGTCTCCCAGGGGTGCAGTCGCGGAACGCAAAGGGGGCAGGAGGGGGGGCGGGTGGGTTTCGACTCTGGCGACACAGAGGGGCCGGGAGGAGGCTGGAGGGGAGGATGGCCTGCCAGGTCACCCCACTCACCCGTTTCTTGCAGGGCCACGGTGACATCAGCGGGGGCTGCCGGTGCAACGTGAACGGAGAGAGATGCCACCGGCTGTGCCAGAACTGTCACTGAGCGCCTGCCAAGAGGAAGCGGCCTCCCCCCCCACCCATCTCAACAGATGAGCTGGGCGGAGCTCCACCTGGCTGCTCTGCTCAAGTCTGCTTTATTTGGGGGGGGGGGGTGTTTCCCTACTTAGCTCTTCCTCCCCTTCCTGGACTTCTAACTGCATGAGGGGTAAAAACATGAGCCTCTTTGCAGCTTTGGTAGATGATGCAGCAGCACCAGCCCGGGGCCTCTGGCTCCGCATTCGGCTTGAAAGAGAGCAACTGAGGGATGCCTGCTTTCTGACTTCACTTGTGGGGGGGGGGGGAGTCAGAAAATAAGTCGTCTCTCCCTCCCTCAAATTACTTAAATTTCTTGCCCCGCCCCCACCCCAAAAGGCTTTAACTGACACTTCTGGGCAACCAAGCCGCAACTATTAAACTTTCAGAGACTGAAACCAGAAGGAGGGGGGGGGACTCCCGCTCTAGGTTGCTGCACAGGCGGAGAGAACCTCCCCAATAAAAGAAAAAACATGCCAGCCATGAGCCCGGTGATTCTTTTCAGGGCCGAGGAAGATTTGCAAAGGAAGGGAAACGGGGTGGGGGGGGGAGCAGGAATGGCCACAACCTAGGCGAGATGATTTGCAGGCCGAGGGGACTCAGCATCTCAAGAAAGCAGCTAACGTCTGGTTGAGGAAACACGTTTATTGGGTGCCTGCCACCCCTGACCCCAGGGTCCTCTGGCCAAGGCTGCGAGAGCGACTGGATGAATGGTGGGAGGCATTAAATAGCAGCCAGGGTGCTCGGGAGAAGCAGCCATCCCCCCCCACACCCAGCTGCACGAAGGGCGAAGTGCCATCAACGCTCTGGTATCCGAGACGGGTCTGCCTCATCCAGAGGTCAGTCACGACGCTGGTAGAACATTTTCCTGCTCAGCGCAACCGAAAACTTGTGCCTTGTCATCAAGTACACGAAGGGTATTGCCACGGACGCAATCAGTATTGTCTGGGTGAAGACAGGAGAGGCTGTCACAAGAGTTTCCCTCCCCCCTCCCAGGCATCATCCCCCCCCCTGCAGGCAGCCCTCGGTCCCCACCAGGGAACAGCAGCAGCTCCTGGCTACGCCTGCCTGGCCCATCAGGCCACGGCCGGCAAAAAAGACGCACCTTGATGCCTAGCCGCTTGCGGTCGTCGAATTCCGGTTCCCCTGCCCATCGTAGGAAGGTGCAGACGTCTTTTGCCACCTGCGACATGGTGGCAGGTGTGCCTGTAAAGGAGCAGACTCGGGTGACCACCAGCCCAGTCGAGGGAAAGGCCTCCTACCAGCCCCCCCCCAGCCCACTCACCGTCTTCGTATTCCAAAATGTCATTGTAGATGGGAGGAGCCATGGCTATCGCTTGTCCGGAAAAGTAGGGGTTGTAGTAAAGCCCCTCCCGCATAGTCACGCCCCCTGGGGGGTCGCAGTAGCCAGTGAGGAGGGAGTAGACGTAGTCCTCGCCCCCGTGCCTGAAAGGGAAGGGCGGTGAGGGCCCGACTTCTCCAAGCCTCTCCTCTGCCTGGCAGTGCCAACCGCCCAGTTGTGCCCCAGCCCCTCCTCAGGCGGGACTACCTGGCTTTGAGAATGAGGCTGAGGTCAGGAGGCAGGGCCCCGTTGTTCGCTGCCCGCGCCGCTTCAGAGTTGGGGTAAGGGTCGGGGAAGCGGTCAAACAGCTTGCCAGATCGCATGTACATCTCGCCGTTTTCATTGGGTCCGTCCTGCACCTCCACCTAAAGGGCGAGAGGCCAGCCTCGCTGTGAACCCTCCATCTTCCCCAGAGAAGGAGCCGGTATTTGTCCACCTTCATCCGTCACCACCTCAGCTCCCCGAGCGGGGTGGGGTGGTGACATGGCCACCACCAGTCCTACCGCCAACCGCTCGAAGGCGTGAACCAGACACGAGGCAGTCCGGAGCAGCGTCCATGCCATGCCAACCAGGGTCATCTCCCTGTGGTCCAGTTCAATCCTGCTGCATGCTTTGCTTACCTCCGCAGCCAGGACCTTGGCTTCCTCTTCAGTGTGGGTAGCACCCACGAGATTGCGAAAGGACAAGTACTCCATGCTGTGGCAAGCAGAGCACACCTGCTTGTACACCTGATACCCACGCCGGACACTGTGGACACGAACGTTTCTGTCAGGCCACGAGCCTCGCAAGGCAGCGCTTACAAACAAGGCAGCTATTGAAACCACAGAAAGAGGGAGCCGACAGGCAAGCACAGGAACCGAGGAACGTCCGGCTTCCGCTCTTGGGGAATGGCTCTGCCCAAGACCAGGATTCCTCTGAGCTGGCCTGGTATGCCCAATGCCAAAAGAGGGAGGCAGCCGGGCCAAGCAGGGAGCTCGGAGATGACCGTCTGGACTAAAGGCAGACAGAACGCGGGTGCAGGAGCAGCAAAGGAAGTGGAGGCAGCTATAAAGTTTTTCCCTAAGTGCCATCAGGCGGGGCGGGACAGGGCGTGAAAAGAGACAAGGCCTGGCAGCTGATTCCTATCCAGAGGAGGCAACTCCAACGGGACCGCCAGCCCTGCCCTCTTGGGCCAGGACACCACGTACCTGCTATGGTCCAAGGCAGTCAGGAGGCCATTGTGCTCCCAGGGGTAACTGGGGGCATGAAGCTCCAATTCCGAGGCATTCACAGCTCTGTGAAGGGCCCAGGCCAGCCCTGCCCCGCCGACTGTCAGAACGCCCAGAGCGCTCAGGGCTACCCTCTTGCCCCGGGAGAGACCCGCCAGGGACGCCACATTGGCCTGCAGAGAAAGGCAGCTGAGTGAATCTCCTGCAAGGGAAATGGCGCCTCGCTCCTCCAAAGCAAGCAGGACGTCCTTGGAGGCCCCCCCCCCCCCACGAGATATACTGCATAACACAAAACTCTTGATGCGTGGGAATCCTTCTGCACAAATCAGGCCAGAGCAGCCTTTTTCTACTTTGGCAACTTGAAGATGGAGGGGGGCCTCCCAGAACCCCCCAGCCAGTGGTCATCTTTCAGATGGACGGACTTCAACTCCCAGCAAAGCTGGCTGGGGAATTCTGGGAGTTGAAGTCCCCCCATCTTCAAGCTGCCCAGGTTGAGAAAGACCCGGCTGGACAATTCAGATATCCAACGTGCCACTTCAGCGACTGGGGACGGGGGGGGGGTCGCAACAAGCGCGTTGTTGCAGGGGAGGGCGCTGGTTGGGGGCAGCGACCTCCCCTGCAACAACGCGCGGGGCTGCAAAAACCTGGGGAGGCCTGGGGGGAGCACGACCTGCTTTCCCATCTCCCATCCTCCCCCTCGGAGCCCTTAAGAGCCGGGGCCGGGCAGAGGCCGCCCCCCCCCACCCCGCCTGCCACGGACCGACCCGCCGCCCTCCGCCCTCTCCACCCTCCCTTCCAGGGGGGGGCCTGGAACGGGCTCTCCCGCAGGGCCGATCCGGAGCGGCCGGCCGGGCGAACGGGCTTCGTTCGGCCGCCCGCGGGGCTCCTCCCCCCTTCCTTCCGGCAGCCGGTCCGGTCCCTCCCGCGGGCGTCCTTCGGGGCGCCGCAGTGCAGCAGCCGGGCTGCGCCATCAGCCGTGCCCGCGGGCGACGGGGGCAGCAGCAGGAGGAGGACGAGGAGGCGGCGGGGGGCGGCCCGGGGGAGTCGGTCCGGGGGGGGGGCGCCCGGCGCCGGAAGGAAGGAAGGGCCGCGGCCGAGCGGGGTGACCTTGGGGCCGCCGGCGGGACCGAGCCGGGACCGAGCGTGGGGAGCCGCGCGCGCTGCCGTCCCGGGCCGCCTGGCCATACCCGCGTCTGGGGTCCGCCGGGCAGGGCCGGGACCAGGAAGCGCCCCCGGGAGCGCGCCAGGCTCCGCGCCGCCGCCGCCGCCGCCGCCACCGCAGCCATCTTGGGCGAGACGAGGCGAGACAGCTCTCCCACAAGGCGCCGCGCGGCGGAAGTCCGGCCCTCCGAGCGACGCCCTCCCGGCGGCGCTGGGCTAGAGCGGCGCGGCGCCTTCGGGCCTCCCCGGATGGAGCAGGCAGATCTACGAATCGTCTAGAGGAGCGCCCCCTCCGCCTCCTCGTGGGCCCTCAGTGATCGCAGCTAACTCCGGCTGGATTGGTGGAGCGGTCAGCGGCGCTCAGAGGGAGGGCGGGACCGGAAGCGGTCAATCCATCAATCAGAAGGGAGCCCGGGATGGGACGGTTGGTGGAGAGGCTGGACCATTTCTGACAGGTGGCTGTCAAATCTCTTCTTAAAAACCTCCAGTGATGGAGCAACCACGACTTCTGGTGGCAAGCAGTTCCACTGGTTGATTGTCCTCCGTTAGGAAGTTTCTCCTTGATTCCAGGTTGCTTCTCTCCTTGGTTAGTTTTCTTTATTCATTGTTTCTTTTCCTGCCTTCTGGTGTTTTGGAGAATAAGTTGACCTCCCTCTTCTTTGTGGCAGCCCCTCAAATACGGGAATAACTGCTATTTCTTTTCTCTAGGCTGGCCAAGCCCAGGTCCCACAGCAGTTCTTTGTATGTTTTAGTCTCCAGGCCTTGCATCAATTAGAAGACGCTTGCTCCTGGGGAGGAAAGCTATGGCAAATCTACACAGCCTACTCAAAAGCAGAGACGTCACCCTGCCAACAAAAGTACGTATAGTCAAGGCCATGGTTTTCCCAGTTGCAATGTATGGCTGTGAAAGCTGGACCATAAGAAAGGCTGAGCACAAAAGAATGGAGGCCTTTGAACTATGGTGCTGGAGAAGACTCCTGCGAGTCCCCTGGACTGCAAGGTGATCCAACAGGTCAGTCCTGGAGATCAACCTCGACTGCTCTTTAGAAGGCCAGATCCTGAAGTTGAAACTCAAGGACTTTGGCCACCTGATGAGAAGGAAGGACTCCCTGGAGAAGAGCCTGATGCTGGGAAAGATGGAGGGCAAGAGAAGAAGGGGACGACAGAGAAGGAGGTGGCTGGATGGAGTCACTGAAGCAGTAGGCGTGAGCTTAAATGGACTCCATTTAAGAACAGGAAGACCTGGAGTCGCGATGGGTCGGACACGAATTCACAACTAACAACAATTAATACTTTGCATGATCTTGATTCTATGCCTGTTTATACAACCCAGGATTGTTAGCTTTTTTGGCTGCTGCTGCACACGGCTGGCTCATGGTCAAGCGATCGTCCACTAGGACTCCAAGGTCCCTCTCACAGTGGCTGTTTTTGAGCCAGGTCTCCCCCAGTCTGTACTTGTACCTTTGATTTTTCCTACCTAATTATAAGACTTTTGCTTTTGTCCACATTAAATTTCATGTTTTTTAAATAGGATCCATGGTTCAAGTTCAAGTTCCTTGTTCAAGAGCCCCACCCCGGCCTTCCACTTCTCAAGATCAGCTTTGCAACCCACCTGGAGTCCTTTTTGACTTGGGGCCTGCGAGTGCCTGAAATATGATAGGGGTGGTGGGCACACACAAATCCACTCTTTGCACCACAACTTCCAAACTGTTTATTTTGCCAAAATGGTTTCCAGGCAAACCACAGCTCCCGCCCCCCTCCCAGCCTCCAGAGGGTCTTTCTAGCTTTTGCAACCGCAGCAAAGTCCAAGAGAATCAGCAGCTCCATGGCCCCTAGCCAACCTCTGTGACCCCAGCAACCCTCTGCAGCCGGCCCAGAGGCAGGACCCAGCCTGCAGCCAGCCGGACGTTCAACATTGCGAGCTTGGCAGCCTCCTCCTCCTCCTTGCCCTCTTGGAAAGCTCTCTGGGCACCATCAGCTGCTGTGCAGGAGGAGGGTCCAGACTCCCCTCCCCGGTCCACTTCAAAACCTCGCTGGCCTCTGGTGGGCTGGGGGAGCTACTTCCAGAAGAGCACATTCCAGAAGAGCAGCCAGCAGGGGTAGACGAAGATGGCCACAAAGGGAAAGACGATGGAGCCGTAGAGGTAGTGGTCCAGCAGCCCCTCCGCGATCACCTGGAGGAACTGCTGCCAGCCCTCCAGGGGCGAAATGGGGTACTCCATCAGCTCTTGGTACAGGAAGATGCAGAGGAGGAGGGTGATGGCTGGGGAGACCAGCAGCAGCAGCCCTGCATAGAGGTACCTGTGGGGGAGAGGGGGCTTCTGATCACACACCCCTGGCCCAAGACCTGTGCCCACCCCCAGTGGCTTTTCCTCTCTCCCGCTGGGCACCTGCAGGCTCCCTGCTGGCCTTAGCCAGAGATGCAGGGAGAAGCCTCCTCAGGTGTTCTACCTGCGCTGCTTAAGCCAGCTGATTGGTTGGACTGGAGTTGCTTGCCAGCTTTCCAGGCTTAAATCGGGGGGGGGGGGGGGAGAAACGTGGCCTGCCTGGCACTCCCCCTCCCTGCCCCAAGATGCATCGTCACTCTTTCCCACTAATTTCTTAAAGAAACTGCAATCTAACCAGGGTGCAAAGGTCCCGAAGGTTTCACCCATAAACTAACCATCCTTTAATCCAGGAATCAGGAAGAGCAGAAACGGGCCGTCTGGCTTGGCTACTGATAGTACTAAATGGTCTAGTCATTCTGCGCTAAGCTTTGGGGCGGGGGCGGGGGGGAGATTCATACTTGTGAAAACATTGGCTTCCTTCACGCCAGTCTTTGGTGCACAGAGACGGTTTCAGGCCTGGGGCACTGGATACAGAGAATGGCCCTGGGTTCAAAAGCTCTCCTTCCTCTCTGGAGAGAATCACCCCCCACCCCCTGCTGCCTCAGAGCTGGCCCTGCAGCACTGCTGTCCCTGCCCCGGAACATACCTGGGCCCCGTGGGCTGCACAATCGCCGCCACGGGCGCCATGGTGACTGTCAGCAGGAAGCCCAAGGAGAAATTGATGAGCGCGACACAGCTCAGCTGCATGGCCAGGTAGAGCAGCGCAAACAGCTTCAGCATCATCCAGCCCTGATTGCTCCCGGAGCCCATCAGGACTCTGCAAGGCAGGAGCCCAGGTGAGTCTGGGCAGAGCCCTCCGGCCACTCGCCTCCCTGCTCCTCATGCTCAGTCCCGGCTGCCACCCAGTGCGGAAGGCCAGGCTCCCACCTCACTGTTACCTGTGCGTGTTGTGGGGCAAGGCCAGTCCGGCCACGTAGATCCCAATGCTGGTGAGCACCACGGCCTCCGCCTCAGAGACCGGGAAGTGTTCAGTGGCCACTTGCTGCCCCCAGACGGGCACGAAGTAGAGCGCGAGGCCAGTGGCGTGGCAGATGAGCAGCGGGGGGAGCAGGGTCAGCAAGCTGGGCCTCGGATCCTGTCCCAAAAAGGATGGCAGCAGCTCAGGGGGTGTCCTGCCCCACCCCCAAAGCACGGGAATGGCCGAGCCAGGGCTGGCCAGGCACGTCCCCCCCCAAAGCTGGGGAGATTGACAGCAGGCCGAGCACAGGGCCCAACTCGATCCCTGAAGAGAGAGATTTCTGCCACAAACACCCCCCCTTCTCCATGGGCCAGGACTGCCATTTCCTGTTGCAACCCACCTCCACGGGAGCAGGATTCGAAGCCTGGTCCCCATCGCAGAGCTGGCTCCCATCGCCGTCGAAGCTGCTCAGCTTCATCCACAAGTCCAGGGCGTTGAAGGGGGAGTCCAGGAAAATAGGACTGACATAGGCAAGCCCCAAACACCAACGCCCGGATTGCCCCCCCCCATGGCATTCTGGGGACAAGAGCTGCTGACCGCAGCCTCTGGGTAGAGGCGACCCCCAGCCTTGGGCCGCTCTCTCAGGCCAAAGGGCCCCTCACCTGCTGAGGAAGCCAGGGCCCTGCAACAGGATGGGACCTCCCTCTTCCACCACCCAGTGGCCCCAAACCGTTTGCTCGGCATGTGGCCCTGGAGGACTCAGGCTCAGGGTCCCCGCACACGTCTCCAGCATCCCACTTTCCTCAGGGGAGGGGCGTCATAGGCTCTGGAAGCAGGAGCCCCCTCCCAGCCACCCTCCCCGAAGCAGACATGCCCCCGTCTCAGGCCTCCCGGTGAGCAGGCCCCCCCGCTGGCCTGGCCAGGCGCCTCCGCTGGAGCAGGATATCCTGAGGACCAGGATGAGGAGGAGGAAGCCGAAGGCCGGCATGTAGAGCCCGATGGAGACGAAGCGGGAGAGCGAAGGCAGCAGGTAGAAGAAGTAGGACTGGTGCAGCCGCTCCAGCAGGTTGTTCAGCTTCCGGAAGATCCCCTCAAAGGTCCTGGGGGGGGGGGAGAGCGGAAAGAGCCTTGCGGCCTCGGGTCCCAGAGGGGGGCCCCCCAGCATCCCCCCGGCCTCTCCTCGGCCCCCAGCCCGCTCCGGCACTCACACGCCCATCGCGCCCATGTCGAACTTGTACTGGCGGAAGCTGTTGATGCCGCGGATGGTGACGGCCTCAATGTGGTAGCGGAGGAAGAGGCCGTGGTCCCCCTGCGGGTGGCCAGAGCCCTGCTTGAGCACCATCAGCAGCAGCGTTTGGAGGGAGTGCAGGAAGGCCGGCAGGGAGTCCCAGTCGGAGCGCTGCAGCTGCAGGCGGGGGAGCAGAGGAGGCCCTCAGCAGGGCAGGCACGGTCTGGACGGTGCCCTGGTTGCCCCCAAGAGCTCGGGCGAAGGACTTTTGCGGCAAGGGAGGGACACCGCCGCTCCCACTCCGACTGTGGAGGGAATCCTGCTGGCAGACTGACCACATCCCTGCTCCACCAGTGGCCGAGTCTGGCGCAAGGCACCTCCTCCGGCCTGGCTGGGCCGGTGGCCAAGAAGGGTCTCCCCTCTGGGCAGCCTCCAGCCCAGCCCAGGACACACGGGTTCTTCCGCGCACCTTGCCCTGGATGGTGCACAGCAGCCCGTTCTTCTGGCAGAAGGAGTAGAAGAGGTTGACCAGATCCAGGTTGGGCAGCTGCCCGTTCAGCCCCTCCACGGCCACGTCAAAGCTGGTGATGACGTCGCTGCTCAGCTCCAGAGAGATGGCGGCCTGGATGGCTCCTGCTCGGCCGAACGTCCCCGAGGACTGCGTTTCTGCAGGGGACACAGCGGCTGCGTGGGTGCCTCCCTGAGAGAGGGAAGCCGGGTGGTGGGATTTCCTAGCGGCTGGATTCGGAAGCTCTCTGAGAGGCTCTGCCAAAAGCCAGGATTGAGTTTCCCAAAGCTGCCAACGGGCCCAATCCCTGCCCTGCTTTTCTAAAAAGGGTTAAAAGTTCTGCTCGTTTTAAGGGAAGCGTTTGCTAACAGTCGGATGGGTCCTACCCCGAGCAGCAGCCCTGATAGGAGAGGCATGGGGGGGTGGGCTGGGGGCCCCGGAGCAGAGCCAAGGGGGGCAGGGGGGAACCGAGGCTCCCATCCCTCCAAGCACCCGGCAGACCCCCTACCTGTGACGTTGACGTCGTGGTAAGCCTCTAGCCAGGCCTCCATGCCGATCAGGTCGTGCTCGTTGACCAGGAAGATGATGTCCTTGGCCCAGTAGATCTGGCCTGGGAGGGGAGGGGAGGGCAGCTCAGCACGGGCCATCCTCTCCCTCCCTCCCTCCCACCCTCCCTGCCTCCGCTGCTGCTGCCGCCCGGGGCCGCCTCACCGCGGAAATGCGCCGCCAGGGCCAGCATCAGCCCCACCGCCTGGCTGTTCCGCTGCTGCCCGGCGCTGCAGGGCACGCTCAGCACCAGCGACTCGGTGCTGGCCGCGCGCGGGGCCCGCAGGATCCCGTACACGTTGGTCCCCTTCACCATCTGCGCGGGGAGAGGAGGAGAGGGGAGGAGAGGGGAGGGGAGGAGGAGGGAGCCGCCTGGGCGTCGCTGTCCCCTCCCGGCCTGCCAGCCCCCCCGCCCCGGCTTAGCCCCGGCCGTACGTATCTCTCGCGCGCCTCGTCCGGGAAGGGCAGCGTCCGGGAGAAGCTCTGCGCGTAGACCTCCAGGCCCAGGCCCCGCAGGCTCTTCTCCAGCCAGGCCACCGGCAGCGCCCTGCGGGGAGGGAGAGGGGCGTTGGTCGCCGCCCCCGCCGCCCCGCGCCCCCCGCCCGCCCCGGCGCCCCCCCGACTCACCCGGCGGCCTTCTTGCGCTGGGCGGCGAACTCGCGGGCGAGGGCCAGGGCGCGGTCCCCGCGGGCGAAGCGCTCCTCCACCATGGTGGAGCCCATGGCGTTCTCCGACATGGAGGCGCGCGGCGCCAGCGGCTGGAAGGCCAGGCCCAGGAACCAGCCCAAGCCGGCCACGAAGCTCAGCGCGCTGCGGACGAGAGCGGGAGGAGAGCGGCTCAGCCGGGCGGGCGGGCGGGCGGCGGACGGAACCCCCCCCCTCCCCGGCCGCCCCTACCCACCAGAGCGGCGCCTGGAGGCGCAGCAGCAGCCGGGAGATGGCGCGGCGCCAGTGCGGGTCGGAGAGGAGCCCCATGGCGGTGCCCGGCCGGCAGAGGCGGTTGGAGGCGCCTCCCCGGAAGACGCGCACGCTCCGCCCGGCGCCGGGGAGGGGCGCCCCAGTCCCGAGCGCGCAGCCGGCGCCTCCCCGCGTTCGCGCCCGGACTGCACCGCTGGAGGGCCGGGGCTGCTCCGGGACCCGCCGAGTCGCGCGCGGCGCCGAGAAGGGCCCCGAAGGCGGCCGGAGCTCTTCCAAAAGGCCGCGCGGAGATCACAGCCGGCCCGAAGCCCTCCGGACCAGCCGCGGCCGCCGCTCCGGCTGCGAGAATCCCGGACCGCGGCTCCCTCGCCCCTCTTGGCCCGCCCGGGTTTCTAAGAGACTTCACGGGCGCAATTGTTCATTCCAGACGTTTATTTGGAAGACGCGTGTACGGGACAGGCATACAAAGCCCCGGGGGGGGGCGAAGCGGTCCGAGTAAAGGCGGCGGCGCGGGCCGCAGTCCAAGGGAGCCCCTCGGGTTCAGTTCCCCGGGAGAGCCGCCCCTTCGCGCAGGTGCTCCCGCACCACCCGGTCCAGCACGGCGTGGACGTCCCGGCAGGCCTTGCTGGCGGCTTCGGTGAGGCGCTCCAGGTGGTCCTCGTGCAGCCGGCCGTTCATCTCCACCAGGGCGATCTGGTCGGCCTTGGGCAGCAGCGCCAGCGCCAGCTGCGGGCCCCCGGCCGCCTCCTCGATGTAGTTCAGGTCGGCCAGCGGGCTGTCCTCCACGAAGCCCGCGGAGCTGGCGCAGACGTAGTCGCGCAGCGGGATTCCGGCGTCGATCACCGCGAGGGTGGCGGCGTTCACCGAGGCGCAGTAGTTCCCGCCGTCCGCCTGCAAGATCTGAAGGCGGCCGAGCGGCGGTGAGCGCCCCGAGCCGCCCGCCGCGCCCGCCCCCGCCGCGCCCCGCCAGCCCCGGAGCCCCACCTGCACGTAGACGTCGATCTGGGAGCGCGGGAAGAGCTGCGTGAGGATGGCGGCCTCGAAGGTCTGCTTCAGGTGCAGCGTCATCTCGCTGGACTTGCGGTCGCCGTGGGGCCGCCGCTTGCGCTCGCCCGTGCTGAAGGTGGCCATGCTGAACTGGCAGTTGACCAGCGCCTGGTCCGGCGGCGCCTTGCCCCGGGAGCCGCGCGTCTGCGGGGGAGACGGGAGAGCGGCGGGCAGACGGGGGGAGAAAGGGAGCGGAAGGAGGGAGGCGGGGGACCGCCTGAGCCCCCCAACCCGGCTTGGCGGGCAGGCGGGCAAGCGCGCGCGCAGCGGGGGAGCCCTTACCTCGTGGGGCCCGTAGACGACGGCCAGCGCCTTGGTGTTGCCCTGCTCCAGGTAGGCGGAGCCGTCGGCCTGCGCGAAGACGCCCATGCGGGCGCGGATCTGCCGGAGCTCGCCGGCGCGCCGCCCGTCCACGCGGTAGCCCTGCTCCGACAGCAGCTCCAGCCCCGCCATTCCCGCCCGGCGCTTCCCGCCCTGCCCCGCGCCCCGACGGGAGGGGCCCGGCAGGCGCCGCCCCCTGGCTCTCCGCGCGCGCAGGAGGAGCGCCCGCCCGCCCGCCCGCCCCAGCAGCTGGGCAGTCGTTGGGGCGAACGGCGCTGCCGGCGGGGGGGGGGGGCTGCGCGGGGCGGCCCGAGAAACGGGAGAGGGCGGAGAGGCGGGCTGTCTCCGACGGGGCGGCGACTGGGGCGGAGGGCAGCGCCCGGATCGGTGCGCTCCTGCTCCGTCCATCCGTTCTGCCATCCGAGAAGCCGACGGGAAGGAGCGCGGAGAGTCGCCCAGCGCCCCGCTCGCCCCCTTCGCCGACAGCCGCCATGGCTGCCCCGCAGCCGGACAAGTTCCAGTTCGCCATCGATCGCGGCGGCACTTTCACCGACGTCTTCGCCCGCTGCCCCCGCGGGAAGGTCCGCGTGATGAAGCTGCTCTCCGAGGACCCGGCCAACTACCGCGACGCTCCCACCGAGGGCATCCGCCGCATCCTGGAGGAGGTCAGTCCGGCCCGCCCCGACGAGCGATCAAAGCGGGCCCGGCGCGCCTCGGGACCTCCCGCCCCCTGGCGCCGCCACCGGACCGGACCGGGGCGCCGGACCCTCGCCTTGGAGCAGCCGGTGGCTCGGATGCTTCCCTGAGGGTGGAGGGCGAAGGTCTGCGAGTTGCGGGTCTCTGCCTCTGGCTCGCTCCCTCTTGCTGCACGCCAGACCTGCCGAGGAGGCCAAGGGCAGAACGTGCTTCTGCTCCCCGGGATTGAGGCCCCGATCCTGGGAGCTGGGACTCCCCTGATGCTTGTGGGGGAGGCCCCAGAGGAAGCAGCTGGCTGAAGTCCAACCCTCCCTTCCCCCCCCTACAGGAGTGCGGGGTCCCCTTCCCCAAAGACCAGCCCCTGGACACCAGGCGCATCGAGTGGATCCGGATGGGCACCACGGTGGCCACCAACGCCCTCCTGGAGCGGAAGGGCGAGCGCTTCGCCTTGCTGATCACCAAGGGCTTCCGGGACCTGCTCTACATCGGGAACCAGGCGCGGCCCAGCATTTTTGACCTGGTCAGTGCTCTCAAAGAGGTCCCACCCCCACATAGCAACTCCCCCTCCCTGGCTCTGCCGTGCCTTGCGCGGGAGGGCTGATCCCCGTGCCGGCTGGCGCCACCTTCCCTGAGCAGCACGGAGCAGAGCAGCAGGTCGGCTGCACCTGGAACTGGCAGTGGTAGCCAGGTGGGAGCCCCCTCCCCCTCCTGGGTGTGCCTAGGGCTGAGCAGCTCTGCTCCCTCACCAACCCCTCTGTGCTCCGGGGGGGGGGGGGCTTCTTGGGCCAATGAGGCCAGTGGCCGACCAGGACTGAGAGTGCCACCCTCCCCTACAAGGCCGGCCTTCCTTCCTGCCTCTCATCCCTGGTCTTCTGCCCTGAAGGCTCTTGCTCCTCTGCTGGCCTGAGGCTGCCCCCTCTCTCTTTGGCCACCCCCCTCCGCAAAGAGTTGCCCCCCTCCCGAGAGTCCTGCTCCTCCTGGATTCAGGCAGGGGCTACAGCAGAACAGCTGCAGGCACCAAGTGTGCCCCAGATGTGCTTGGCCTCCTTTGGGTCTGCCCTGCCTGTGCCCAAAGGGGAACGGACGGGTGCAGCCACCCCAGTAAGGCACTGACGAACGGGGCTATTGAAGCTGGAGGCCCACCTGATCCTCGGGTTCTCTGCCCCTTCGCCGGCCTTCTGGGTCCCTTCGGGCCTGACCCTTGTCTTGGCACGGGCTCTCTCTTGCCCTTCCTGCTCTGCTCCCCCAAGTGGGCAGACCCATCCCTGAAGCCTGGTCTCCCCACGGGCCCCCTGCCCTCTCCCCCCAAGGAGGTCCGAGTGCCAGAGGTCCTGTATGAGGCGGTGGTCGAGGTGGACGAGCGCCTGGTGCTCCATCAGGATGGCTGCCAGGTCTTTGATTCTGGGCAGCGGGTGACAGGTGAGAGCTGCAGCCAGGCATGGGGGGGAGGGGGGGAAGAAGAGCTGGATGGAGCCTCTGGAGTGCAGATGTGGACCCTTCCCCCCCCAGGCCTGACCGGGGAGGCGGTGGTGGTGAAGAAGCCTGTGGACCTCGTTGCCCTGCGAGTGGAGCTGGAGGCGCTGGTGGCACGGGGCATCCGCAGTCTGGCCGTGGTCCTGCTGCACTCCTACCTGTGAGTTCCTCGGGCCGAGAGGGGTTTTGACCCTGAAGGGCAGCCCCCAGCAGGGAGACCGGGGTGTGTGTGTGTAGAAGGCATGAAAGGCATATGTAGAAACACAGCACATCTGGGCTGCTGGCAGCCAAGAGAGAAGGCAGCTGGGAGGGCAACCTCTGGGTGCCAAGGGCTGCGTTGGGCAGCTGGGCATAGACAGGGATCGCACAAACTAGGCAGGAGGCGGATTGGGACGGATTTATGGATCCCGTTCTTTTGGGGGCTTCTATAGCCACCGTGTGCTGGCTTATAGCCTAGAGGGCTGGAAGCCGATAAGGGCTGGGGGGGGAGGCGCTCGCAGCTGCTGAACTGAGAGTCCTCAGCTCTCCTTCACCGCCCAGATCTCCCTTCGGTGGGTGGGATTGACCCCCTGAGCACCCCACATGGCAGGGGGCACCTTTCCCCGCTCGGTCCATGCCTGCCTGCCCAGAGTGGAGGGACCTGGTCACCGGAGGCCTCTGGGGTTCAGCCTCTGGTGTCTCCCACAGGTGGCCCGGCCATGAGCAGCAGGTGGGTGCCCTGGCGCGGGAGCTGGGCTTCCGGCAGGTCTCGCTCTCCTCCGAGGTGATGCCCATGGTGCGCCTGGTGCCCCGTGGCTACACGGCCTGCGTAGACGCCTACCTGACCCCCTGCATCCTCCGCTATCTGCACAGCTTCCGGGAGGGCTTTGCTTCGCAGCTCCAGGTGAGGAGGAGGAGGAGGAGAAGGGGGGCAGGGGGCCCTTGGCCTGACAGGGCTTCCAGGGATTGCAACCTGCCTAGGCAGCCCAGGCTCTGCTCGCTCTTCTGCGGTCGTTTTGTGCAACCCAGATTGTTGTGTTAAGGCAGAAGATTGTTTGTGCACGTTACTCAAGCGCAGCGACTGAGCTTTGGGAACTTGTGCAGGATGCGTCTCGCACTGGCGTGCTGCCACACGCAGACCTGCGAGTTGAGCATTAAATGTGCAGCAGTTGCGTCTGGGCTACTCTCTGACCTCTGGTCGAGCAGTAGGGCGAGAAGTCCCTCTCTAGCGCCCAGCCGAGCGCGCCTGGTGTTCCCGTTCAGCGCATTAATAAGTAGCCCATAAACACTTAAGGAAGGGGTCCGGCTTCTCTGCCGGCTGCTCATTGGTGAGACTTGTGCACCTCCTCTCGGTCCAGGCAGGACAGGGCCTCACTTGCCCTTTGGGAGGGGGGTCCACCGGCCGTCAAAGCCAAGGAGGGCGTGGCAAGAGGTGCTTCCTTGGGGCTCAGGGATTGCTGGGGGTCTGAGGTTCGTAGCACACTGGACCCCAAAGGGCTTTTGAAGGGCCCCCCAGGATCTGACGAAGCAGCGTGCCAACCATCAGCTCCTTGGCTCCTCCGGCCTTGCCCCCTCTCCCTCCCCACAGGGCGTGCCGGTCGCCTTCATGCGTTCGGACGGTGGCCTGACTCCGATGGAGGCCTTCAGTGGTTCTCGGGCCATCCTCTCGGGCCCCGCTGGCGGAGTCGTGGGCTACGCAGTCACCAGTTACTCCCGCACAGAAGGGGATCCGGTCATTGGCTTCGACATGGGAGGTGAGTGGCGGGAGTGGAGGGGCTCTGTGGCCCTGTCCAGAGCAGGGGGAGGGAGGGAGGCTGACAAGGTCCTCTTGCAGGGACCTCCACCGATGTGAGCCGCTACGCCGGAGAGTACGAGCACGTCTTCGAGGCCACCACAGCCGGCATCAGCATCCAGGTGCCACAGCTGGACATCAACACAGTGGCCGCCGGAGGTGGCTCCCGCCTCTTCTTCAGGTGAGCCTCCTGCCTCGGGTCACCCTTCCGGCCCTGGGGGTGGGGGTCCCTGAGCTGCGGACAATTCGCCCTCCATCTTCCTTTGAGCAGGGACAGGTTAAGGGCAGCCTCTGGCCCTGCAAGGACCGACTGGGCACCTGCTGCCTTCCGGCCCCTTCAGCCCCTCTGAGTTTGGGGAGGGGGACCCTAACCCTGATGCCAGCTGCTCTTCCAAATTTCCAGGTCCGGGCTCTTCGTGGTGGGCCCCGAATCCGCAGGAGCGCACCCCGGCCCCGCCTGCTACAGGAAGGGTGAGGGAGCCGCATGGCGTCATTCTGGGCGGGGGGAGGGCCAGGGAGGAGATGGGCAGCTGGTCGGTGATGGGCACCCGTCTCTTTCTTGCTCGCAGGAGGGCCACTGACCGTGACGGACGCCAACCTGTGCATGGGCCGCCTCCTGCCCAGCCACTTTCCTCACATTTTTGGGCCCAACGAGAACCAGTCGCTCTCGCACGCAGCCTCCCTGCAGGCCTTCCGGGCGCTGACGGCCGAGCTGAGGACTTCTGGGGAAGCCTGGCCTGACCTCAGCGTTGAGGAGGTGGCCATGGGCTTCATCCAGGTGGCCAACGAGGCCATGTGCAGGCCCATTCGGGCGCTGACGCAGGTACTGGCTGCTGGTCAGCCCCCTCCTTGCTCTGGGCGCCTCCGAAACACCCCTGCTGGCCTCCAGGGGTCCCTCACGGGGGGGCGCAGAGGGGGGCTGACTGTGACCGTGATTCAAGTGGGCAGAGGCGGCCCCTTTGAGCCGTGACCCTCCACTCTGGAAGCCGCAGATGGGGGGAAGAGCGCTGGGAACTAATGGCTGACCTGAACTGGCTCTGAAAGCGGCACCCGGAGGGGTGGGGTGTGTGCTGAGCCTGGCCCTGCCCTGCCCTCTGTCCCCTCCCCCTCAGAGCAGGGTCTGCTCCCAACGGTGCCGTTCCTCCCTCTGGACAGGCCCGGGGCCACGACACCTCTCGCCACGTCCTGGCCTGCTTCGGAGGGGCCGGGGGCCAGCACGCCTGCGCCATCGCCCGGTCGCTGGGCATGAGGAAGGTCTTCATCCACAAGTAGGTCCTGGGCTGTGCCGTGAGGGTCCGGGGAGGCGGAAGCACCTCGGCTGTCCCAGAAGGCCTGCTGCCTGAAGTGCAGTTGCCAAGCAGGCCTGTTCTTCATCCAGCATGGGGGGCGGGGCGCACGGGGGTGCCCTTGTCCCAGGGGGAGGGCTTGGTTACCTTTGTCCTTCCAAGCAGGGTGAGGCCCCTGTGGCCCTGGGGGATGTGCTGGCCGACGGGGGAGGGGCTTTCCCACTCTGCCTGGTGGGTGGCCTGTTGCTCTCCAGGGTCTTCCCTCTCCCCCCCCAGGCACAGCGGGGTCTTGTCGGCCTACGGGCTGGCCCTGGCAGACATCGTCCACGAGGCCCAGGAGCCCTGCTCCCTGGTCTACGGGCCGGCCTCCTTCGCCCAGCTGGATCTGCGGACGGCTGCCCTGGAGGAGACGTGCCTGCACGGGTTGGAGGCCCAGGGCTTTGCCAGGTGGGCCCCAGGGCTGGGAGGGCAGGAGAGGGCCTGGCTCTGGCGCCCGGGGCGGAAGACGTCAAGCCCCTCTGCCCGCAGGTCCCAGATCACCACCGAGGCCTTCTTGCACCTGCGCTACGAGCGGACAGACTGCGCCCTCATGTGCTCGGCCAAGGGCCACCCGGCCCACGCCGGCTCCTGCAGCCGTGGAGACTTTGGTGCCGCCTTTGCCAGTAGGTCAGTGGCACCACACACCCATCCCCTGCACCTGCCCCCCCCCGGGAAGAGAGCTTGCCGAGGACCCCTCCCTCTGGGGGGCCAAAGCAAGTCCTGATAACAAGCTTGCCCCCCCCCCCCAGGTATCGGCAGGAATTTGGCTTCACCATCCCCAACCGAGCCATTCTGGTGGACGACGTGCGGGTGAGGGGCACCGCCAGCTCTGGGATGGGCCAGGAAGAGCCTCAGCCGATCTGCAAAGAGCCCCCCAAACAGGAAATGGTAGGGCTCTCCCCTTGGCCCCAGGCCGGGCTTCCCTACCGGACTAGCCGCTCGCCTTATAGCTTTGGCCCTGTGGGCCCCTGTAGTCCACCCTGGGGGCCTCTCCTTGGGTAGGCTGTTGTGTTGTGTGAATGCCGGACGTCTGTCCTCTTTAGCATCTCCCGGGAAGGGACACCTGGGACTGGCGCTTGCCCAACTTGGTTCGCGCTGCTGGCAGGATTTTACTTCTAAACTTGCACGAGGCTGCAAAGTGGAAACTATCCAGGCAGAGTCTCCCAATCCGAAAAGTTAAAAGGAACAAAGATTAAAACCCAACCGAGCAAATGGGGCTGCTGTGCCAACGCAGCCCTGCGTGTTTGTGTGTGTGTGTGTGTGTGTGTGTGTGTGTGCCTGCCTGCCTCTCTGGCTTCCTTGCTCCAGATTCCCAGATGGGAGGGGCAGCCGTGTTCCTTCGGGGGCCTCCCGGAGGCAACAGCCCCCCCCCCACATGCACTCCTCTTCCCTCTCTTGGTCCCCTCGCCCGTTTCCTTTCCACCGTGGGAGCCCTGGGCCTAACGGGAGGTGTGGAAAGTCAGTTTTCCAAAAATGCAAAGAATCATGGGATGGAAGCTTTTGGAGGGACTCTGGAGATCATCTAATCCAGCCGCTATTGGAAAAATCCCGGCAGGGGGGAGGCCGCCACCCCCTCCCCCCAGGGCAGCCTGCTCTGTTGTTAAGCTGCTTTCACGGTTAGGACGACCTTGCTGAGCTCCGGCTGAAATCCTCTTCCACCCCCCACCCTCCCCCCCAGTTTCTCCTCCTGCCTTCTGGAAAAGGCCTAGCTGTCCCTGCCCCCCCCCCAGGAGCCCCTCCGACCCTCCTCCTGCATGAACTCCTCCTCCTCCTCCTGTGGCAGAGGAACCTTCACTGCTCGTGACCCCAATGCCTTCGAGGGCCAGGCTTTTTTGGCAGGACCATCGTAATCTTGGTTGATGTTCAGTTTGCAGTGGAACAAAATTTGGGGGGGGGTCTTTCTTGACTTTGTGGTTGCTGACTGATGGCGATCGTGATATTAGCCCTTCAGTGGAGAGTCCGACTCGTGGCGATTCTCTGGGCCAGGCGGCCTCTCCCCCTCTTCCCATCATGCACGGCTCCTTTTGAGTCGTTCTGAGCTCTGTCCGGGGTCAGCTTGGACAGTGTCCAGTCACACTGGGCTCTTTGGCGGCCTGGTGACCTTTCGCCTCTGGCTCTTCCAGGCCTCGTCGCTTTCTCCAGGGAATTTGATCCCCACGAGGGGGGCCGGAGGAAGTGAGACCCCTCATTTTGCCAACCTCTGTCCCCTTTGCCTCCCGTCTTGGTGCCTCTGAAGTCTCCCAGTCCAAAGGAAGGACGTTACATTTTCCCCTCTTGAAGTTCATTTTGCTGGCATTTTTCTCTCTCGGCTACGCTCTCTCGCCTGCCTCGGGTGACCCGGCTCAGGAGGGGCTGCAGGGCAGAGGCGTAGCGTGGGGGGTGCAGGGGGGGCCGGCCGCACCGGGCGCAACATCTGGGGGCGCGCGCTCGCACTCGCAGCTCTCTGCCCCTGCCTGGCTCACTCACTCTCTCTGCAGTGCTGGCTGTGCGAATCCGATCCGAGCCGCCGGGTCGCTGACGCCGCCCACTGTGGAGGGGGGCGCAAATTACTTGCCCCGGGTGCTGACAACCCACGCTACGCCACTGCTGCAGGGGAGGGGCTTGTGGGCTGGGGGAGAGCTATGTCCCCTTTAAAATCCTGTGAGTCCCTGGGGGGGGGGTGGAGAGCGATTCCCTGCTGGCTCCTGCCAAGTGGCCCCGTCTTCTCCAAACATTCAAAGAGGGTTTTGTGTCCGGTCCTGGCATTGGGCCTCCCTCCCCGTCCCCCTCCCACACTTGTCCTCCTTCAGTCCTCTGGCAGAGGCCCATCATCCACGGCTTCTCAGAGATGAAGAATAGGGCTCCGAGAAGGGGCCTCCGAGTGATCCAGACTTGGGACTTCAGCCGGGAGCGTTGAGGGCCGCCTAGTTCCTCTCGGCCTCCCAGAGTCCTTCTGCCTGGGTCATCCCAGCTCCGCTGTGCAGAGGACATTCGAGCCTGGGGGGGGGGGCTGAGGAGCCCCTCCCTCCCTCCCTAGTCTTGAAACACCTTCAGCCTTTTGGTCTTCCTGGCTTGTTTTCTGCTCCGGATATCAGCCACTTGCTGGTCCCCTCCTTGGGGACGGCACCCTTTCTCCTGTCCTAACGGAGCCGGGGGTCCTCGGCTTTTGGAGCTGCCTGGTGTGCTTGAGAGAGAAAGGGGCTTCTCCTTAGTTCCCCCCTTCCCAGAAATTCTGGAACGGGGGGTGGGGCTGTTTCAGGGACCGGCTGCCGAACAGTGCCAATTGGGCGCAGTGGCAAGGGGAGGCTGCAAGATAATAATAATAATAATAATAATAATAATAATAATAATAATAATAATAATAATAATGATGATAAAAAAATAAAGTTGGAAGGGACCTTGTAGGTCATCTAGTCCAACCCCCTGCTCAGGCAGGAGAACCTATACCAGTGATGGTGAACCTTTTAGAGACCGAGTGCCCAAACTGCAACCCAAAACCCACTTATGCATCATTGGGTGCCGGGTGGGTGTGGCCCACTGGGTGGGTGTGGCCCATTGGCTGGGCGTGGCTGCGGTGGTAACGGCAGACTGGGTGGGACTAAAAAGTTCAATCAATCAATTCCAACTTTGCAAGACCTTTTTTTTCCCCCGCGAGAAGTTGAAATTGATTGAACTTTTTTTTTTTTTTTTTTTGCACACGGCGGCGGAGGCCTAAAGCGAAAAGGTTTTATAAAACCCAGCTGAAGGCCTAGGACTGGGGTGACGGCACGTGCCATAGGGTCGCCACCACTGCCCTATACCATTTCGGACACATGGCTGATCTGGAGGGGGGTTGGGCAAGGGCGCCCAACAGCTGTGCCAGCTGGGGGGAGGGGTCTGTGTAATAAGCCTCTCCCCACCTACAGGTGACCCGCTGTTACTTTGAGGGGGGCTACCAGGACACCCCGGTCTACCTCCTGGAGAACCTCTTCCACGGCCACTCCGTCCCTGGCCCCAGCATCCTGGTGGATAAGAACAGGTGAGGAGAGGCTGCAGGGGGAGGAGGAGGTGGGGGGCGCAGGGTTCGAATCTTGTCAGAGCAGGAAAGAAGTTACCGGCTCAGTAGGTAAATAAGATCACAGGTGTTCCCACAGTTGGCTTGTGGCTTTCCTGATCCGTGGACGATGCTCTGTGCCAGGGGTAGGCAACCTTGGCTCTTTTATGACTGGTGGACTTCAACTCCCAGAATTCCTGAGCCAGCATGGGGGAACTATGGCCCCCTCATGACTCCTGGACTTCAACCCCCAGAATTCCTGAGCCAACATGGCTCAGCTTGGAAACCTCTCCCTTTCCCCTCAGCACGGCTGGCTCAGGGATTCTGGGAGTTGAAGTCCACGAGTCATAAAAGAGCCCAGGTTGCCTACCCCTGCTCTATGCCCACTGCTGGTGGTCCACGGGAGGTGGGGGCTGGGGGGGTGCTGTGTGACCCAGAGGCAGCCGCTGAAGGGCCCCTTTGCGCGCCTGCAGCACCATCCTGCTGGAGCCCGGCTGCACAGCCTCCGTGACGGCCCTGGGGGACATCACCATCGCAGTGGGCTCCGGCACCTTCCGTCCAATTGGGCCTGAGCTTGACCCCGTCCAGCTGTCCATCTTCTCCCATCGCTTCATGAGCATCGCAGGTGAGCGTGGGGGGTGGGAGCTGCCCCCCCCACAGGCAGGATGGACCCCGCCCGACCCCCCCGAGAGAACAGCCTCCTCTCTTCCCGAGCAGAGCAGATGGGCAGAGTCCTGCAGCGCACGGCCATCTCCACCAACATCAAGGAGCGGCTGGACTTCTCCTGCGCCCTCTTCGGGCCTGACGGGGGGCTGGTCTCCAACGCCCCCCACATCCCCGTCCACCTGGGCGCCATGCAGGAGACGGTGCAGTTCCAGGTAGGAGCCGCCTCTGGGTGGGTGGGAGGGTCAGCTCCAGGGGCGAAGGGCAGGCCGTAGGGAGGCCTGGCACAGGAGCCCTCTGGGGCAGTTGGAGATGGGGGGGCTGCCCCAGAGGCAGAGAAATGAGAGGCAGTTGGTGTGTTAACGCAACACGGGTGTGTAAAACAAGGACTGTGAAAAGGTCCCAAGGAAAGCTCCCTTCCCTGCTTTTACTGTGTGTTGCGGTCCTGGTTGCCGAAAGTCCTGCTTTGTAGGCCAGGGATGTATTCACGTACACACATGTGTCTATATCAGTGATGGTGAACCTTTTAGAGACCGAGTGCCCAAACTGCAACCCAAAACCCACTTATGCATCGTCGGGTGCCGGGTGGGCGTGGCCTATTGGGTGGGCGTGACCCATTGGGTGGGCGTGGCTGCGGTGGTAACGGCAGACTGGGTGGGACTAAAAAGTTCAATCAATCAATTCCAACTTGGCAAGATCTTTTTTTTTCCTGCGAGAAGTTGAAATTGACTGATTGATTGATCACTTTTTTTTTTTTGCACACGGCGACGGAGGCCTAAAGCGAAAAGGTTTTATAAAACCCAGCTGAAGGCCTAGGACTGGGGCGACGGCGCGCGTGCCCACAGAGAGGGCTCTGAGTGCCGCCTCTGGCACCCCTGCCATAGGTTCGCCACCACTGGTCTATATGTATGGGGGGCATCTGGGTGGGGCAGAGAGTGGGACCTGCCAGGTGCTTGTTGGGGACCTCCTAAGGCTCCTCCTGCGCCCCCCCTTCCTTGGGCTGAGTGGCTGTCTCTCCCCTGCCTGCCCCTTCCCCTCAGCCGCCCTGCGGGGTCTGCCTGCACGTGTGAACGAGTCTCTTTCTCCCCTCTGCAGGGCCGGCCCTTGGCCTGTGTCTCCTCTTCTGCCGGCACCCTTCCCATGCCCCTCGCTTTCTCTCGGGGCGCCTAAGAGAAGCCCCCTCCCCTCCTTTGTGGACCACCAAGCGACCGTCCCCTTCTCTCTCTTTCTCTCTCCTCCTGCCTCGTTTCCACCCGTCGTTCCTGTTTCCACAGGTGGTTCATTCTCAGAGTGCCGGGAGGCCCCCTCGGAAGAGCCCACCGATGGGGACCCTGGGCTTGTGGATGGGGGGGACAGGGGTTGGATGTTTGGGGGGGCTGTGGGGTGAGGGGAGCCTCCTCCAGAGGGAGGGGCTGCACCCACACCTCAGAGGGGGACCTTTCAGCCTTCTCCTCCTCCTCCCCATTTCCCCGTTTGCCATTGCAGATCCACCACCTGGGACCCGACCTTCACGAGGGGGACGTGATCCTGAGCAACCACCCCTGCGCGGGGGGCAGCCACCTGCCCGACCTGACGGTCATCACCCCCGTGAGTGGCCCCCTCCCCGCTTCCGGAGGGGCAAAGAAGCAGCCGGGGGCGCAGAGCTTTCCCTGAGGTGGGCCCCGGGCTTGTCCTGCAGAATAGGAGAGTTCGGGGGCTTATGGGGTCCCAAGGTTGACTTGCCCCTGCAGCCTCCCCCCCGTCTGCCTCCCAGCCCCCCCATGCCCTGCCCCTTTGTGGAGTGGCCGCTGCTCGTTCCAGGTCTTCTGGGAGAAGGAGGCCAGGCCCATCTTCTTCGTGGCCAGCCGGGGCCACCATGCCGACATTGGGGGGATCACCCCGGGCTCCATGCCCCCCCACTCCCACTCCCTCCAGGAGGAGGGGGCCATCTTCATCTCCTTCAAGCTGGTGCAGGAGGGCGTCTTCCAAGAGGAAGGTTGGTCTTTGGGGCGGGGGGGAGGGGGCTTCAATTCTCTAGGAGGAGGGGGCTGCGCCCATCACCCCTCCCGCCACTGCAGAGCCTCTTCCCTTGCAGCCGTCACCGCGGCCCTGCTGGCCCCTGGCCAACTGCCCGGCAGCAGCGGCACCCGCAACCTGCACGACAACCTTGCCGACCTGCGGGCCCAGGTGGCCGCCAATCAGAGGGGGATCCAGCTGGTGAACGAGCTGATTGGGCAGTACGGGCTGGGCGTGGTGCAGGCCTACATGGGCCACATTCAGGTGAGGAAGGGTCTCGCTGCCCCCGGCTTGACCCCAGGGCTCGCCTCCCACTCGGAGGCTTTCAAAGACCCAGTGGAAGGTCTGCCCCGTTGCGTGGCCAGGGGAGAGCCAGGAGCGGGTTGGAGACCCCCCCCTTCAATTCTTAAGGTGGGTTGATCCGATGTGGTTGGGGTCAACATCTCCCACCACTTTCTGGAAGGGGAGAAGACATCCCTCCGCTTCACGTTCCCCGGGGCAGCACAAGTGGGTCGAGTGGAAAGGGAGTGGGGGTCCCAGTGCCCCTCCTATTCCCTGTGGGCAGGCCTGCCCCACACTGGAGAGGGCAGTTTTGGGGTGCTTCCTCTGAGGACCCCCATGCTGAATGCTGGGGCCCCAAGGGTGGGGGCAATGGTGTGGGGCCCTCCTGGGGCCCCTCCCTGGTAGGATGGGGAGGGTTCTGCCACCCAAAAGTCCGGGACCATTTCGGCCCTTTCCTGGCTTTGCCCTCAGGCCAACGCGCAGGTCGCTGTCCAAACAATGCTGAGGAAGTTCGCCACACGCCGTGGACACGTGGACCTCCCCCTGCAGGTGGAGGCCAAGGACTTCATGGATGACGGCACCCCGATTTGTCTCCGGGTGAAGGTGGACCCACAGGAGGTGAGCGGAATCCTGGAGCTGGGAGGGGTCTTGGTGGTCGTCTATTTCAGGGGTCCCCAACTCCCGGGCCGCAGCCCACTCCTGGGTCATGAGCCGTTCAGAACCAGGCCATGGAAATGGCGGGCAAACACACATGTGCACACACACATCCTGACTTGTGGGAGCTGTGTGTGTGTGTGTGTGTGTGTGTGTGTGTGTGCGCAAATGGACCTGTGCACGCATACGCCTGTCATTCACACGGAACGATCCCCTCCCTCCTCCCCGGTGTGAGTCCACAAAGACTGGAAAGTTGGGGAACTCTGAGCAAAGGACCTGAGCAGAGGCCCCCGGATTGGGGGAGGCGGGGGGGGAGACATGAGCAACAGAACAGCCGTCCAGCATTAGGAGTGGTTGCAGCTTCCTTCTCAGCTGCTTGAACGCTCTGTGTGTGTGTGTGTATGTGTGTATGTGTGAGAACCGATCTGAGAAGGATTGACAGCAGTGGTGAACGTGGATGGCGGGGGGAGGGCTAATGGTGCCTCTTTCCCCCCCCTCCCAGGGCACTGCACTCTTTGACTTCACGGGGACCGGCCAGGAGGTGTACGGGAACTGGAACGCCCCCCGTGCCATCACCCTCTCCGCCCTGATCTACTGCTTGCGCTGCATGGTGGGCGAGGACATCCCCCTCAACCAGGTGCAGAGGGAGGGGCAGCTGGGCGGGGCCAGCCCTTGGAAGAGCTGGGGGGTGCCGGGGGGGGCGCTGCCCGGATGATCAGGAGAGCCTGAAGTGTCCCCGGCTGCTTCCTCGCAGGGCTGCCTGTCCCCCGTGCAGATTGTGGTCCCCGAGAGCTCCGTCCTTCACCCCTCCCTGGATGCCGGCGTGGTGGGGGGCAACGTGCTGACCTCCCAGAGGGTGGTGGATGTCATCTTCCGAGCATTTGAAGTCTGCGCTGCCTCGCAGGTGAGGGGAGCACAGAAAGGCTTGGCTGGGGGTCTCTGGCACTCGGGTGGGGGTCACACAGCTGCTCGGCCAGGGCACGGGCAGCCTCGCGCAGACGCCAGCTGGGCCAGGAGGTTGTTTCTTGAACCCAAGTGGCTGAGAGGAGAGACGTCCAGAGGGCTGGTGGCTGTGCTCAGAGCGCAGGGAGCTATCTTTTGAGAGACCCCCAGGAGCCTTCCCACCATCCCTGAGACCGGGGGTCTGCTGACCCCGAAGCAGGGCCTCCCCTCCCTGCCCAGCCCCAGGTCCTGGGGAGGGGGCTTCTGCAGCTAGCCGGAGAGCCCACATTCCGTCCCCTTGACCCTCCTCCAGGGCTGCATGAACAACATCACGTTTGGGAACGAGCACGTTGGCTACTACGAGACGGTGGCCGGAGGGGCCGGGGCGGGGCCTCACTGGCACGGCCGCAGTGGGGTGCACAGCCACATGACCAACACCCGCATCACGGATCCTGAGATCCTGGAAAAACGGTGGGTGACAGTGGAACCTGAGGGGGGGGGCTCTTGGCACCAGATCCTGGGCAATGCGCCTCGTCCCTCTGGGCAAGGAAAGTGTGTGGGGGTGGGGGGCCTGCCCTGGCAACCAGGCTCAGTCTGGGTGCTCCTTTTCCTAGTCCCATGCTGTCCCCCCCCCTTGATTACCCAGCTCGAAGCTCTCACCCCAAGGCAGGCAGCTGGTGTGCTTGTGTGTGTGTGTGTGTGTGTCTTGGCTGTGCATACTCTCAGCCTATTGTACAGGAGGCATTCAGTAGCGGATTGCAGACCCCGCTCTCTTTCCCCTCCCCCACAGGTATCCAGTGGTCCTGCAGACCTTCCAGCTGGCGCCAAATACCGGGGGGGCTGGGCTGTTCCGAGGAGGGGACGGGGTCCGGCGAGAGCTCCAGTTCCGGGAGGAGATGGTCCTGTCGGTGTTGAGTGAGCGCCGGGCTTTCCAGCCATACGGGCTGCAAGGTGGGGGGCCGTCTTGGGTGTGGTGGGAGGTCCTGGCGTGTCAGTGGGGCTCTTCCGCTGGCCATCTATGGGGGGTGGTGTGGAGTCGCTGCAGTTGTGGGGTGGACTCGTAGAATCCCAGGGTTGGAAGGGACGTGACAGGTCCTGCCCTGCTCAGTGGGGCAGCCCCAGAACATCCCCCCCCCATTGTCCACCCAGCCTCTGTTGGATTTCCTCAGGGCTGGGGGGGGGGTGAGGCCACGGGAAGGCCACGGCGGGACAGCCGAAGGGTGGGAAGGGAAGGTTCGCCCTGCAAGGCTGGAGGTGGCTTCTCCAGCATCTCCTCTGACCCCCAGACCGCCCCGTGGCTCCTTCTCCCCTTTCGGACAGGTGGCGATCCCGGTTCCCCGGGCCTGAACTTGCTGATCCAACGCAACGGACGGACCATGAACCTGGGTGCCAAGATGTCTGTGAAAGTGCGCCCTGGGGTAAGGAGTCCCCGGAGGGCCTTCCTGGCCTGCTGCCCTGCCCTGGAAGCCGCCCTCTTGAGGGGTCTCTCTCCTTCCCTTGTCCGTAGGACGTCTTCTGCCTGCAGACCCCAGGGGGAGGGGGCTTCGGACAGCGCCCCCAACCGCCACCCTTGGCCAAAGGGTCCGAAGAGACCAGGGTCCGGGCCCAGCTCTTCAGGGAACGAGGCAGCTTCTACTACTACAGCCGGTCACAGGAGACAATGGATGGGCCCTGAGGGGGGGAGGGAGAGAACGGCCCCCGGCTGAGCAGGGGGGATCTGGCCAGGAAGGACCGGATGGAAAGATTGGAGAAGGTGGCAGGGCAGTCCCACCTCTCACCACAAGGGGGCAGCGGAGACCAGCTTTCTTCCTTTCCTGTCCGTATGGGGAGGGGAAGGGTGAAATAGAGATGGGCTCACACCTACACACCCTAAGTGCCGTTTCTCCTGGGGGGGGCTGCCCCCTGCCCGCCTCTCTTCTGCCTGCACCCCTCAAGCCCAGAGAGAGAGAGACGGGGTGTCGTGCCTCACTCTTCTCAGCTGGCACGGGGGCTGTGGGCCAGTGGTGCCTGTGCCAGCTGGGAACAGGGAGGCACAGCACCCTTCGGGCCAATGGTGGTGGGATGGACGCCGCCTGGGCCTTTTCCTGGGAGGAAGGGGCCGGGCAAATGCTTAGCGTAGTTTCGCATGAATAAAGTTAGAATCTGCTCGGAGTCCCTGAATCGTTTCTGTCTCAGCAGACGACCCGGCTGGTCTGCCCGGGGGCGCTGCCCACCAGGCCCAGGTCGAAGCCTCCGTGAGGGGTCCGAGTCTGCCACCTCCTGCACTAGAGCCCACCCCCCTCGTGCGTTCTGACCCAACGGCCCCTCCCTGTGTGACAGGTGGAGGGGCAGAGGGCCTTCCAGGTGTGATGGTTCCGATAAATGAGACCGGCAGAAATAAGAACTCTGAGGCAATTGCTTTCCTCAAAGAACACTTTTAATGGCTGCATAATATCAGCACGAACAAAGGTGAAACCAAGACTGAAAGTTCTCCCCCCCCCCAAAAGGTTACAAAGTAAAAGTTGAACTCCCCACCCCTTGGTGTGTCATAAATCACAATCCCCAATTAACACCTTTGGTGGGTTTCCTAAGGGTAGCTCCAGCCCGCCAAACACTTAGGCTGCTTGACCTTGGTTCCCACAAGAAAGTTATTGTTTTGACTGAACTATAAGAATGCATCTTCCCCCCCCTCCCATTGCTGTGGCAACCGAAAAAGGAAGAAACATGGCTGAATTCAGAGCGTTTGAAGGTTTGACACAAGGTTATTAGAGGGCTGGAGGCTAAAACATAGGAAGAACAGTTGCTGGAATTGGGTATGTCTAGTTTAATGAAGAGAAGGACCAGGGGGGACAGGATAGCAGCATTCCAATGCTTAAGTGCTTCCCCCCAAAAGAGGGGGAGTCAAGCTATTATCCAAAGCACCTGACAGCAGGATAAGAGACTAATCAAGGAGAGAAGCAACCTAGAACTAAAGAAAAATTTCCTGTTAACCAGTGGAATAGAAGTTGCCTCCAGAAGTTGTGGGTGCTCCATCCCTGAAGGTTTTTACCAAGAGATTGGACAGCCATTTGTCTAGAATGGACGAGGGCAGGGGTAGGCAACCTTGGCTCTTTTATGACTCGTGGACTTCAACTCCCATAATTCCTGAGTCAGTTGAAGTCCACAAGTCATAAAAGAGCCAAGGTTGCCTACCCCTGGACTCGGGTCTCTTGTTAGAACAGGGGGTTGGACTAGAAGACCTCCAAGGTCCCTTCCAACTCTGATGATGTTCTATGTTTGAAACTATTTCAAGAACGACACACAAAATACTGAAAATCAGTTGGATAGTTTATGGGCAGGCACCATCTAAAAGGAAGCAGAAGGGTAAATTTTCGCATTTCGGGAACGAGGGCTGCAAAATAGAGTGAGGACAGCATCGGAAAGCAGCCAGTTTGGGCTTTTGTGGAAGAGATGAAGGTGCAGATCAGTTGAGTAGGAAGTGGGACAGTGTTGCTCAGACCTTCTGTAAACAACATAACAGCCACTACAATCCTTTGGCTTCCATCAAAACATTGCAATGTCTGAGTTTCCCAGCCCACGTAAACATAAAATAACGCTATTAAAATAATTAGGTTAAAATGTTATGCTTGCAAACAAACTGATTACCATCTAGAATGCAGCACCTCAGATACATAAGGAGTTGCCAAAGCCCAGGGGACAGCAGATCCCGAGAAGAATGGGAAAAATTACAGAGATCTCACGATGGGAATGGATAAACGGGTCCTCAACTGTGGCAACTTTAAGACTTGGGGACTTCAACTCCCAGAATTCCTCAGCCGGCAAAGCCGGCTGAGGAATTCTGGGAATTGAAGTCCCCAAGTCTTAAAGCTGCCACGGTTGAGGACCACTGGATGGAAACCTCACCAAGTCATCCCTGCAATTATTAATTGGCACATTAGACTGAAGAACAAACAGAAGAAAAACGTTTATAAGAGCTCAATATTTCGGTCACTTCAATTGTGGATTTGCAAAAACACTTTTGCTGGGTGCACCTTACACCTTTAGACGTTTTATTTATTCATTCATTCAATATCTCCGGTTGCCCCTTTCCGGGACTCTGGCATCGGCTGACAGTTCGAAAATGTATTGCAATTAAAAACACGACAAACTTTTTAAAAAAACCGTAATGACAGCAAAAAGCAATAAAAACAACAGAAGCGTCCAAATTAAGTGACCGCGCTGGGATAAACGCCCAGCTTCCTGCCCCTAGGAACGCGGGTCAAAGGGGTGACCGTTTCATGGGGTGGTTCGGTGATTAGACGCGCAACACCCACAATAATTGGGCCAGGAGGCAGCAAGAATTCGGACAAGCGGCGTTTCGGAGGTCAGGCCGGGGCTCGGTCGGGCCCTCCCGGGGCGCAATTAGGGGCGGCTCCATGGGAGTGCCGGGCGCCTGACTCACGGAGGAAGCCGGCCGGGAGGCCACAATTAGCGGGCCCGCCAGGAGGCGGCTGACGTGGACACCCCCGCGGCGGTCAGGCGGCCCCCGAGCTCCCTGCCGAGCCGGCCGGGATACCTGGCCAGCCAGCCACGGGGCGGGAGTGGCTCCCTCGCCGGGGCTGCTCAGCCAGCCCGGCTTTTCCAGGGCCAAATCCTGCCGAGCTACGCCAGCCGCAGGACCAGGCTGGGCGGTGGGAAAGGAGGTGCACTGCGCTTCGCGCAGCCCTGCGCCCCATCCAGAGGAGCGCCCCGGTGGACGGGGGGCGGGCTGGGAGGGGGAAGCCCCGTCCGATGCCCGGCAAGCAGCGCTTCCTCTCCTGCTCCCGGCGTGGGAAAATGGGCGGAGGTCCCGGGAAGGCCAAGCGTGGGTGGGAGGAGGCTGGCATGTGCCCCCCCCCCCCACGGGGCCTCCGCCGCTTAACTGCCCTTTTAACGGAGGAGAGGCCGCGCCAGGCTCCCTTGTAAAGCTTATCTCTAGCCGGCTCTTGGCGGGTGTGGTGTGTGTTTGCAGTGTCAACACGCTGGAAGGAAATCCCCGGGTGTGTCCCTCGGGGGGGGGGCGCATCAGGCCTTTCCAGCCCCACACTGAGACGCCCCGATTGTCCCAAAATGCACCCCTGAAAAGAGTGGGTGGCTTCTCTTTCGAACCCAGCCCTCCTGGGAAGAAAGGGAGCAGAGAGAAAAGAGAGGGGTGCAGAACACACACACACACACACACACACACACCCCAGAGAGAAGGTGTGGGGTGTGGACGCTCCCCCAGTTCCTTCTCTGCCGGCTCCTCCTTTGGCATTGTAATGTTGTGTGTGCCTGTTTAATGCAGGCAGCTGAGGAGGTCCTCCGGCACCTGTGTCGATCAGGTGGGAGCTTGGCTTGGAGGGGCCTCACCTGTTCCAAGCTTAGAAGGTGCCAAAGCCAGCGGTCGCAGGCCAAGCCCAGAGCTGCCGAGGCCGTCCTGCTCCGGCCACCTTCCTCCGGGGCCCCCCGCAGCAGCAGCCCTGCCCTTCCTGCCCTGCCCCCAGGCGGTCTTCCCCAGCGAAGAAGGGCAGTGCCAACCCATCTGGAGCAAAGGCAGCTTCCCAAAGACGCAACTTTTGCAGCTACAAAGACTAGAAACCTGCCAGACACCAATTTTCTCACTGGGTGCTCCACGCACTGCTTTTGCTGATGAAGTTCAAGTCCCATTAAACTGAACGCCTTGCATGCAGAACGGTCATTTCAAGGGCAGGATCTGGGGGGGTTCAGTTCCCCCAAAAGGCTTAGAACCCCACCAAAGAACACCTGGCTACGTATGGCTGATGAGTCCAGGTCACGTCCAGCTGCCCAAGGGGCCAATACGCCATCCCCGATCTGACATTCTGGCTGCTGCTGCTGCACCCCTCAATTCTCCCTCCCATAAAACACCCAAGCAAAATCCCCTCTGCACGGCTGCACCAGTGGCAGAGTTATGTTACACACCACCCCAACACTCCTTATTAGGGATCTGGAAGTACCTGGCTCGCTTTCTAGGTCACACCATCTGCGCTAGAAGGAGGGGGGGTTTGCTCTCATTACGTTACAGCACTGATAATGTTTCCTAGTTTGGTAGTGAAAGGTCTGTAAAAAAACCACCCAGCTCAGAAAGCCCCTAGGAGCCCACAGTTCCTGGTTTATTCGCCGGTCAGACGTGGCCCCCTTCATCAGCTTCCTCTCTGGGAAATGTTGCTGGCAGAACGGGGAGACAGGAGAGGCCTGTGGGGGGAAGCGGAGGGTGCCGGACACCCCTGGGCAGAAGTGGGGTGGGAGGATTGATCCCGGCTATCCGCTGCTGATGGCTAAAAGCCACGGCGGGGGAGAATGGAGGCTGGCGCCCCTGCCCAGCCCACGATGCTGGTTGTCAGGCGCAGCAGCTGTCCCAAAGGAGGCAGAGACACTGACAAGAACCTGTAGGGTTTTTTTACAAATATATTTTGCATCTATATTTACAGCAGACAAGGTAGTCAGGCACATCCCTACACCATAAATAAATGATCAGGTAAATCACAGAACATCATACAGAGCACACAGAAGGGAAAAAGGCCACAAGGGGGGGGGGGGAAACTACCCCCACAGCAGCCAATCACAGCCCAGATTGCCTGGCTCAGGAGCCAGCCCTCTCCAATCAACTGCCACTGGGTGTGCTGGCCCAGGGCACTCTTTACTGGGCCGGCTACTAAAGTTAAATATCCCAACACTGAGGCTGGCGATTTCTTCCCGGCTTTCTTGATAGGGAAGATATTGCCTTTTTTAAAAATTACTAATCCTATAATTGCTGTGCTTAAGTGTCACCGGCTGTTCTTTCAACTTGCCTCAGCCGCAAGGCTTGTCTGTCGAAACCTGCAGCAAAGGGGTGTGTGTGTGTGTGTGTGTGTGAGGTCAGCCCCCTCCTCCCTGGTCTTTGGGGTCCCACCAGGAGAAGGAGCAGGGGAGCCTGCCTGCTGGAAGAAGAGTTCAGCTCGAGTCAATTTTGCCCCCTGCTGAGGTTCACCTGTCTGGCTATAGTGCTGTGTGCAGGTTTCTTTAGGCCAGGGCTTTTCAACCTTTTCACTCATTGTGCCACTTTTAGGATACGGCAACATCCGAGGACCACCAGTCGCCTAGCAAGGTGTCAAAAATTTGATGACCAAAAAAGGAAAAAAAAAAAGGAAAAAAGTGATAAAGTACAGGTAGTCCTCGACTTACAACAGTTCGCTTAGTGACTGTTCGAAGTTACAATGGCACTGAAAAAAGTGCCCCCCCAAGCCACAGCCCAGCAAGACACCTGCCTGCCCACCCGGCGGCTCTCTTCCTCCTGTCTGAGGTTTCCATTGTTGTGAGCATTTCTGTTGAGGATTGGCAGTGGGGGTGGGGTGGGGGGGTGTTTGGTTTTATTCCCCCCGTCTGCTGGGTGGTTGCAGCAGGTTTTGGTCACTTCACATGACCCTGGGACACTGTGACCGTCCTAAATATGAATCAGTTGCCAAGCATCTGAATGTAAATCACAAGACCCTGGAGAGGCTGCAACATTCCAGCTGATCGGAGCTTCTTCTGGGCCCAGCTGGAGCCTGGCATTGATCCTGGCGCTTCCGCTGAGCCCTGACAGCCCTGCAGCTCCAGCCGTCTCTCGCTCAGGCTTGTGCGGTGCTGCCACCGGCTCAGCTCATTCCCCTCCCCCGCTACCCCTTTTCTAGGATGGTCGCGTACCACCTGCCAGGTGCCAATGTACCACAAGTGGTACCCGTACCACTGGTTGAAAAGCCCTGCTTTAGGCTCACAGGCCTCCTTCTCTGCACCTCTCCCGTCTCCCCTTTCCGAATTTTGATTCTTTTGCCAACCGGCGCCTGGCAGGGGCAAAGTGATTGCAGTGCAGAATGGGGCCTTGAGAGCAGGTGGGACTCCGGGGCTCCTGGGGCTGAGCCCCCCCCCTCTCTTTCCCAGCTGCGAATTCAGGGCCAGCCCATCAGAGCAGCAGTTGGTCCTTTTGGTTCAGCTCCTGCAGCTCCTGGGCTGTGGGTTTCAGGGGGGAAAAGACAGCGTAGGAGAGATCCTGTCAGACGCGAAGAAAAAGGGGGCAGTGCTCAGACTTCCAAAAAACCCACAAAAACCAAGCAAAGTGAAGCTAAGCTAAGCAAAAGAAAGGAAGTGAGAGAGAGAAAAAAAGGAAGGATGGGGTCCTGAACTCTTTTCACCCCCTGAAGCTACAGTGTTTGACCCATGTGTCATTCCTGTAGAAACTTTGCATCTTCCCTCTCTGGTCCCTGTCTGTGCTTGGCTTGCATGGCCCGGGGACAGCGGGGTCTGTATCGAGCCCTGCAGGCTGTCTATAGAGTGAGAGTGGATAAGGCCCCCTCCCCCCCCCCCAGCACCAGGCCCTTCTTGACTTGGATGCTGCACACTGAGGTCCCAGAGGAGATCAGCCTTTTGTGCCACCCGGTTGCAAAGATGTTTACTCAAGAGATTGAACAAAGAGCACCAGGAAGCGCCTTCCTGCACACAAAGGATGGGGGGGGGACTTCTTTCCAGCAGGGCCACCCCTCCCGCCTCCTGGCCCCGCTGAAATCTTAAAGCTTTGGGGCCCTGAGAGCTCAGGATGGCAAGGGGTGCCCACGGGCCTTAAGAGTGCCACCAATTAAGAACACCCCAGACATGATCTGCTCAAACGCAATAAACTATTAATATTTGAGGCCCTTCAGTTTCTTGGAAACAATTCAAGTTTTACTGAAACATCCAGTTCTATACATGCCTGATGCAGGATGTGTAATCTGTGTGGTGAGATTTTTATCTTGGGAGGCTGACAACATTTGGATAAATAGTTACGAAAGTCAAGTTGCACTTGATTTGATGGGGGGAGGGGGGGAGGAAGGGTTGCCAATTGCCCAGCCCAAAGTCTGCACCGGCCCTTCATAGCCAACTTCACCCAGATGCGGACCAGGCCACAGGGCCATCGTCCACTCTCCCCCCCCACATGTCCACCCCCAGCCTGATCTCATGTCAGTCTCGACTGTTTTCATGCAGCCCTTCCCAGGAGGACCGAGAGGAGAGGCTGACCAAGAGGTCCAGGCGCTTGGACAGAGAATGCCGGTGTCGCCTTGATGGCCCCCGTTGACCAGCGTCACACTACAGTATCTCCCATCCTCTGCTGAGTTTGGAGCCTGGAGTAGGTGACCGCTCTGGTGCCTGCAGTCTTGAAGACTCCCACGCCAGCCCCTCGGCCATCCCAGAATGCCCGGCTTGGTTTTGGAGGAGTAACTGCTCCCTCTCGCTCCAGCAGGGAGAGGCCCCAGACAGACGGTTTCCCATCCCTGGATCAAGGACTTCGGTCCAGCTGCAGGTCACGGTGGGTCCTTCCACGCCTGGTCACTCTTCCGGTTCCACCTCCGAGGACACCAGGAGTTGCAGTCCGACAGGCAAGTGGTCCGAGCAGGTGGCCAGCTGGGTGAAAAAGGAGACTTTCTCCAGCGTCTGCAAGTGAAGAAGGGACACGAGACAGGAAGGGCTGAGAGCAGCAGAGCAGTGGGCCCAGGAAGGGGCTGAGAGCGGAGAGTCAGTCTGAAGGGTTTGGCCCCAAATCTTGGAATAATTTCAGGCGGTCTTGAAGGCCGCCTAAACCAGGGGTAGGTCACCTTGGCTCTTTTATGACTCGTGGACTTCAACTCCCAGAATTCCTCAGCCAGCATGGCTCAGCTTGGAAACCTCTCCCTTTCCCCTCAGCATGGCTGGCTCAGGAATTCTGGGAGTTGAAGTCCACGAGTCGTAAAAGGGCCAAGGTGCCTACCCCTGGCCTAAACCAACCTTCTGCTCAGGGCAGATTCGGCACGTGGAGGCACCTTCCATCCATTTCCAGAGCCCTCTGTTTGCAGCCCCCTCCTCTTCTCTGGCACCACCTACTCCTAACATTCGCCAACCCTACCACTTTCCCCAGCTGCCCTGGCTGGAACCTCAGCAGCCCCCCAATCCCCCTGCAGCCGTTCCCCAGTGACCCCCCCTTCCCACTCTCCTTGGCACCTTCCAGGGAGCCCTTTGAAAGGGGAAAGACCATGGTGGGGAAGGGGGCTTCTTGCTTTGTTTCTCCTCCTTCTGGAAGGAGGGGCAATCTGCCCAGGAGGGATCACTGCTGTTATGGAGACCCCTCCACCCATTTCTGTCCCTTCTAGCCCCCCCCCCCAGGGCTTGTGGAGGTTGAGGGGATGGTGAGAACTAGCTAGCATTCATTGTCTCGGTCGTGGGGATGGAGGGAAGCTGGCAGAGTTGCTGGGAGGCTCTGCAGGCCGTGGGGACATTCTCGTTTAGGGCAAACTTTGACCAGGTTTACTACCTGTATCAAAATGCCCATTTGGGAGTTCACAGCAGATGCCAGCCTCCCCTTGGCTCAGAAAAGATGGTTGGGGGGGGGGTCACAGATCTGATTGCCCAAACCCCGAGGACCAGATCCACCAAGGGAGCACCTGGCTGGCCACAGGTGGAGGACCAGGAAATGCAAATGTTGCTGCACCTGCAGTCACCCGGAAGACGCTTTCCCAGGGCAGGAAGTCATAGCGATGAGAGAGCTTAATTGTGCTGCCAAGGAAATGCCAGGCGTGTCTGGCACAACACTTTCTTCACTGCAGGGCCAAGGCTGGCCCACGAGGACCGGCTACCTGGACTCCATCCTCATGAAGGGGGAAGGGGGCCTCTTCCTCACAGCCCACCCCTGATTCAGGTTGGCATAAATGAGTCTAGGGCCACAGCCACCTTACCTCTCTTAGTAAGGAGACTGGCCAGGCTTGGGGGGGGGCTGGATTCCTGGCCCTCTGTTCCCACCCACGCAGATCTTTGGCCAGGTCAAGCCCGGCAACCAAAATATCCCGGGAGGAGCAGAACTGGACGTCCAGCAGATGCCAGGCAACCCCCCTCCTGTCCTGGGCTGGGTCAGTGGGAGCGCGTGGTCTGAAGAGCACCCCGGGATGTGCTGAGCCCAGTTGGGTCCACTGGCAGACCGGGGGCCTCTGAGCAAGGAAAGACCCTCCAAGGTACCAGCCAACGCTGCCTCGTGGGAGGCGGGTTACTCTGTTGAACCGGTGCCCGGCGTTACCCTGGCTCAGGTGGGGCAAATGTCCCCCAGAGCGAGTGGGCTACAGGGGCGTCTTGGGACCCACAGAGAAAGCAACTCTCAAGCACACAAAGAGGGCAAAGGAAAAGGGTCCCCCCCGGCCCCCGAGAATTGGTGCCCTGCACAGGGAAGCAACTTTCGTGTCTTGCGAGGTGCCCGGAGAACCGCAGGGCGAGCAGAGCAGAGCAACCCCAGGAAGCCGCCTGGGCCCATTCCAGCAGGAGGTTCTCGCAAGGCTGCTTGTGGGCGCTGAAGGGCTGGCAAGAAGACTGGGCATCCTGCTCCTTGCCAGGCTCTGCCCCGCCACAAGCCCCAGGAGTCAGAGGCTGGAAGTCGGTGCCGATCCTGGGCAGGGAGGCCCCTCGGTGGGGCAGCCTTGGTGGGGCACTCCCCGCAGTGGCCTGGCTTACGGTCCCGGGGTCCACCTCCACACACCCTCTTCCCTCACCTGCTTTCCGCCCCTCCTTTTCCTTCCGCCCTCCGAGCGCTGTAGGGGCTCACCTGGTCCAGAGGCACGCAGCGGGGCATCGCGTGCCCAGATGGGCTGGCAGCTCCGGGGGCTTCTCATTTGGCATGAACCCTGGGAGGCCGTGGATCCAGCCCTCCTTGGCAGCCCCCAGTTACCCACCACCCCCATCTCTGCCACCCAACTCCCGACCAGTTCCCTCAACCCAGTCTTCCCACTCTGGGGACCTTTCCCCGGCCATTTTGGCCCAGCAGGAAGGCCTGTCCTGGCTTCCTCAACTGACCACAGGCTCTCGGGCCACTCACGGTCTTCAAGGGCACCGGGCCCGCATGTTGCCGGTAAAGAGTATAGTCAATGCGCCTCCCTTCGTGCCCGGTTGTCGAGAGGTTGGCGCTGCCATCGGCCTGGAGGGGGCCTGCCAGGTACTTCCTGCGCTCCTCCGGATTCTCCAGAGTCCTGGAAGGCAACGGAGAGTCTGTTGGGGGTTGGGCAGCCTTAAGAAGTCTAAGAAATAAATAAATAAATAAATTTTGGGAGGGACTAGAGGTCATCGAGTTCAACCTGCTGCAGGATGCAGTGGTGACTATTCAGGTTCCTCTTGAAGACATCTGGTGAGGGAGAACTCGCCATTCATGGGACAGGCTGTTCCACCGGCTAATGGCTCCCACGATTGGGAAGTTCTTTCTCATCTCTCACCTAATCCCCTCCCTTCTCATGGTTTCCACCCACTGGATCAGTCCTGCCCTTTGGGACTGTAGCATAGATATGGGGCAGCTCTCCAGGCCTTTGAAGGTCCATATCTTCCCTTTTTTGTCCCAGAGGCTGTGCCTGCCCCACATTCTTTCGGTCTTGGCAGCCCTTGCCCGCCCTGCCCCCCACCTCCATCCTCTGCCCTAGACTTGGGCCTCCCGTTTCTCCTACCTGGAGGCAGAGCAAGGTGCTCCCAGTCCAGCTGCCCCTGGCCAGCTCAGACCCCTTTCTTCCCCACGGAGCAGAGGCAGCCCCTCCCGGCCCCAGGCAGGCTTCACACAGAGGCCAGCCAGCTCCATCACGGGCGACTGGGCCATGCCAGGTGGGAAAGGTGGGCTTAAGGCCTCGATCAGATGTGGGAGAGGGCGAGGCGGGGTCTTGCCTCGGGCACCCACGTCCACGGGTGGGCCTTGGGACCCTCGCCCTCTCTCAGCCCCGGAAAGAGGCCAGCTTGGGCAAAGCCACCTTGGAAGCCCTGCCAGGGAAACTGAGGGGCACTGCCAGGCAGTTGCCAGGATTTGAACTTCCCTTGGGGTGGGGGAGGGGAGACAGACCGCGATTGGCTGCTGTCAGATCAGGCATGGCCTTCTCCCCCCTCCCCCCCGGAAAGGAGCCAACCTGGCAGGTCCTTCAAGGGGTCCCTTATTCCTGGCCCCAGAGATCCCGGGATGGCACCAGACCCTCACCTCCTCAGGTTCCCTGGGGTGGCCACAGCCTCATCGTAGATGCGCAGCGTGTTCATCAGCGTCCCTGTGAAGGGCAGGGGGAGGGGTCGCACTAGCCTCTCCTCAGCGTTGGGGCCCACCCGGCCCAGCCCCATCCCTCCAGTCGCCCCCTGGACCCAGCAGAAGGGAGCAGACCAGCTGGCCCAGGCGTGCTCCCGGGATCCGGCCCCAGAGGGGCCATTGGGGTGGGGGTCACCCACCGATGGCCCAAGGATGGTCCTTGCGAGGCCCGATGCGACAGGGGTCCGTGTACCGATTGAAGATCTCGTGGCCTTGTTCCATCCCGTCACCTAAGGAGAAAGCGGGGCCTGAGATAGCCACGCGAGGGGGGAGACCCCCCCGCCCCATTCCGTCCTCCGCACCTCCCGCCGGGAGACCCACCTGGAGAGCAGGTGTCGAAATTGAGGTCCCCACAGAAGAGGTCGAAGGCTACCACGTCCCCCGGCTGGGCGTGGCTGTCCTGGAAGAGCTGCATCCAGAGCAGGCAGAGGCTCAGCTGCTGGCACCGGATGGGCCCGTCGGCTGTGGGGAGGGGGACGGCAGCCGCGTTGGCCTCGGGGGACCTCGAACCCGGCAGGCTCAGCTCCGCACTCTGCCCCTGGCACGGCACCGCCAGGCCGGGTCCAGGGAGCCCCCTGGCTTGGGGGGCTGCCCAGCAGGCCAAGAGAGCCACAGGGCAGACACCCTCCCCCACTGTGCCCCCCTCGCTCCCTCCACAGCACGGAGTCCATTTCTCCGCTATCAGGCTTCCTCTGGCCTCAGAGGCTGATGGCCGTTGTGTTGGGAGAAGACACTGGACAGCCATCCCAGGATAGAGGTGGACCATAGAGATCATCTAGTCCAGGGGTAGGCAACCTTGTCTGGCTCAGGAATTCTGGGAGTTGAAGTCCACGAGTCATAAAAGAGCCAAGGTTGCCTACCCCTGATCTAGTCCAACGCAGCACTCCTCTGGCGAGGGACCATCCTGCCTCTATCCAGAACCCTCCAGGGAAGGGAAATGCAGTGCCAGTTGAGAGACTGCAGAGGTTTAGCACATCTGGCCTGGATCTCCTTCCTTCTACTTTGGACCAAGAAATTGACCCTCAGACATTCCCTGTTGTTCAGCCCTTCCTGCCTGGGTGGCCCCTGGGGCTCTCCGGATGCAACATTTCGTCCCTGGAAAGCTTCGCTTCTGCCCCAACCGTCCCTCTTCCCCCCTTGCCCCCCCTTACCTTCGGGGGCCTGCAGGTGGGTGCAGTTCAGGTATCCAATGACCCTTCGCCCTTGGCAAGCTCCCAGCTGCACCTGAGTGGACCAAGCAGGAGACTGAGCCTCTGTGGGTGGGTGGGTGGGGGGAGAAGCTTTTTGTGAGAGGAGCTGCCCGCTCAGGTTGGGGGGGACCACGGAGATACCCTTGACCTCTCTAGGGGCCACCAGTGGAAAGACCTTCAGGGGCCCCACTGTCAAGGTCATCGAGGGCCCCACGGATCATCAAGTAGGCCTCATGGCATCATAGCAGTCTGTGGTCCAAGGAACCTGCAGAAGGAGACCCCCCACCCTCTGCTTCAAGGGACAATATGGGCAGCAGGATAGTCAGTGGCTGCCAGGCAGCCTTTAAGCCCCACGGCTGAAGCCCCAGGGGTCCCACCCTGGCAAGAGGGCCACGTGGTGGCAGGGCCCCGCTCATGCCCCTCCATTGCCCAAGGAGGCCCCGGCTGGCTCACCTGCGCGCACAGCAGGCCCTTCGCAGCCAAGGCATCCTCGCCGCTGGCGTTGGAGTAGCAGTGGAACTCCACGGCCAAGAGGGGGTAGCGGCTGGCCAGGAAGAGCCCGCTGTTCAGCAGCTTCAGAGCAGGGCCGGCATGCAGGCCGTAGGTGCCCACGTCATAGACGATGTGTTCATATTGGGGCCCGAGGAACCGGCACAGGTGGGCAGAGGCCCGGGGGTCAAAGACCTCCTGCAGGCACACAATGTCCATATTCGGAGGGAAGCAGATGGAGATCTCCCGGAGCCCGTTGGCCTCTGCTGCCAGGGCCCCCACCTCCTCCATGAGGGGCAGCTCCATGGTTACCACAGAATCACCTGCGGGGTGGTTCAGGACACCGGCAGGGGGGCCCAGCAGCCCATTGGGGGCCCCAGCAGGGGCATAGGGGGTGGAGCACTGTGCCGCCTGCGCCAGAATCTGGCCGAGGTGCCTGGCCCGCCACTGGGTCCGCCAGAGGTTGCTGAACTTGGCCAGCCCCTCAGGGAGCAGGCAGACATTCCCGCTGAGGAGGCTGAGGGTCCTGGCCGGGCCGGGCAGTGCCCACAACTCGGGAGAAGCTCGGCCGGGTGTGTGCTGGTAGGCGAAGGGGCGCCGGGCACCCTGCAGGGGCAGCCAGAGCAGGAAGGCCAACAGCGAGATGGGGCTGTAGAACAGCAGCAGCAGCAGCAGCAGCGGCCCCCGGACCGCCACTTCCAGGGCGTGGGGCGCGCAGCCGGGCTGCTCCGCCGTGGTCCGCTGCAGGGCTAGCACCTCGTTGGTCAGCCAGTAGCCGGGGAACAGCAGGGCCCTCGCGATGGTGTCCAGGCCCCCCAGGATGCTGCTGGAGTACGGCGACTCCCGGAGGCCCATGGTGGGAGGACGGCGGCCGCAGCGGTGCCTGGAGATGCTGCCGCGGACGCCTCCGGTGCGCTCGGCTGCGGACAGGCTGCGGACAGGCGCTGCGCGGAGAGAGCTGGGCAGAGGGAGAGGGACGCGTGAGCTCAACAGGCAGCCCGGATTGCGGCTTCGTCCGCCGCGCAGTTGGAGCGGCTCGCCCGGCCTTTGGGAGGGAGCCGCAGGCCCGGGGGAGACAAAGGTCCGAAATCCTCGCTCCGCGCTCGCCGCTGCGCCCTTCGGGCTCCACCCGCCGACGCACCTGAGCCACCCGGCCGCACTAAGCGCCGCCTGCCTCTCGCCGCGGCATTCGGCGCGGGAAGCGCTGCCGGAGGGGCTCGGAGCTGCGGGGGGGAAGGAACGGCGGGTCCCCTCTCCTCGGGCGGAGGGTCCGCGGCAAGGCGGGACAAGGGGGTTTGGGGCGGCAAGGGGGGGGGAGGTTCCGGGGGCAGCCGGACTGGGGCGCGCGGCGCGGACGGTCCTGCCTGGCTCGGCTGCCGGCATCAGAGCGGCCCGGTGCCGCTTCGCTCGAGGCTGCAGCCGCCCTGCCCTTCCCCTCCTGGACCCCGAGGAGCGGCGCGGAAGGGGCTGAGATGCTGCCACGGAACGCTTCGCCCCCAGCCCGGCGCGCTTTCCAGAGCCGGAGCTGCGGGCGCTGGAGGAGGAAATGCGGACCCAGCGGACAGGCACCGGCAGCAGCTCTTGGGCAGCGCTGGGAGGTGGCAGCAGCCGCCTGGTGAAGGAACAGGTGAATCGGCTGGTTTTATTCTTAGACTACCTTTCAGGGACGTTGTGTAGGGAAATAAAAGATGCCCTGCAGATTTGTTGCTGAGTGGCGGCGGCGGCGGCGGCGGCGAAGTCAACCCCAGCGTCTGCTTCTCTTGGCGGCCCTTTCAGACGCGGCTCTCCCCCCTTTCCTACAACTGAGAGTCAGGGGTCCCAGGTCACCCCGCTGGCTGGTGCCCGAGGCAGGCTCAGAACTCACGTTCTCCGGGCTTCGTGAGCCCCTGACCGGCTGCTGTCCTTTCCCGCCGAGTGGCGGTGGCCACTTTGACTCCTGGGGACCCCCAGGGCCAGATTTCCATGAAAGCCTTCGAGGGAACGACTTGCAAATCCTCCCAGTCTAAGTTGGGCTGGGGACCAGGGACCGGCCTCATGCAGGGCCAGAAACTTGACAGAGCAGCCGCATGCTGCTCCCTTCCAGAAAGAGGCCGGAGGAACGGCAAAGCGAGGGTGGGGGTTTGTGTTCCCAAGAAAGGATCCCAGGCAGGACACGAAGCGGGCCCTGAACTGGTTTTGCAACCGGAGACGAAATGGAACCGCTGCCCCGGAGCATCAGCAGGTCACTGGCTCGAGGGGGACCCCGGGACCCGCCTTGAGAGGCGCCTCCTCCTGGCCAAAAGTCTTTCTGCTGCCCCCCCCCCCGTGACCTCCTCTTGGCCCTAGAGCAGGGGTTCTCAACCTTGGCAACTTTAAGACTTGTGGACTTCAACTCCCAGCTGGCTGAGGAATTCTGGGAGTTGAAGTCCACAAGTCTTAAAGTTGCCAAGGTTGAGAACCCCTGCCCAAGAGCGACCTGGGGTGCCGCGTCTCCCGTAAGTCCCCGAGCCCAGAGCTTCGCTCCACTCACCGCTGCCGGGGCTGCACTTGGCCGGCTTCCTCCGGGCTTCCTCCCCTCCGCGTGGCCGGAGCGGTCAGGGAACTGGGGCCGCGCTGGCCTGCAGAAGCACCTGCCGGCGGTCATGTGCTCCGCATAGCTGAGCTGCCCGTCATGCCTGCCCAGGATTGGGATCCACCCGCGGAGCGAGGCAGGTCGATCCTGCTCGCAAATTGCCTCCGACCAGGCAGCTGACTAACAGGTCCTGCCTCGCTGGCTGCCCGGCCGATTATAGATTAACTTCCGCGCAGCCATAAACGCCGTTGGCCCCAGGGCAGAAGTCTAAGCGAGAGCTGGGAGGGAGGGAGGGAGGGAGGGAGGGGCAGAGGCAGCGGACCCTGGCCCGAGGGTCACTCCCAGGAGAAAGTGTCAGCCGGGGGCGGGGGAGAAGCCGGGCAAGGCGCAGGCGGGAGCGTCCGCCGGCCTGTGGCTCTGCCGGCTTGCCAGAGGTCCCGGGGGGGGGGGAAGCCCAGGTGGAGACTGGAGGGGGCTTCCCCCGGGGGGGTTTGCTCTCCCTGGAGGCTTCCATCTCCCCCCGTGCTCCCTCCCCTTCCCAAAAGCAGGCAATATCCCTGGAGGGCTGCCTCTTCCCAGTGCCCAGATTGGGGCTGCCAGGAAGGTGGCACACTGTGCGCTTTGCCTGCGCATGTCAGGTCGAGTTGCCAAGGAAGCCTTGTGTCTCCCCAAGTGTGTTCTGTGAAGTTCGGGGGAAGAATTGCCAGGGGTCCAGTTTCTGGCAGAACCAGTGGGTCCACTGGCCCTTCTGGGGTGGCCGCCTACCCTGAAGGGGCCCCATTCGTCACCCCTGCATTCGTCACTGTAGTTTTTGGGGGATTAGTGTTTTATCTGGTTGTTAGCCGCCCTGAGTCCGCAAGGGGAAGGGCGGGATATAAATTAAATAAATAAATAAATAAATAAATCAAGGCTGCCTTGTGCCCACCGGCCTTGATTCCTTGGTGGCAGCCATTGCGCAATCTTGCCTCTTCCCCCCCCCCCCCGCATCTCCTTCTCTTCTCTTCTTGCACTAATGAGGGTAATTCTGTAACATCCTCCTGAATTAGTGTGACAAACGGGCGGAAGGATGCTGAGGCGATGTGGGCCTGGCCGCCTCACTTGGTGGTCATCTTCCCTGGCTCTGGGGTCCCAGCAGTGCAGTGGGCATGTTGACCCCTGACACCTCCATGATGAAGGCCCTTCTTGTGGCACTACAAAGTCCACCCCCCCCTTCCAAGTAAGGCGGTCGCCTCCTGAGCTGATGTAGCCTTCAACCTTCCTCCTGCTCAGGCTTCCTGTCCCTGAATCACAGGAAGAGTCTGGAGAACGATCTAGTTTAATCCTCAGCCCATTGGAGGAAGCCACCACAGCTGCACCCTGCAGACCCCCACCGACCCCCTTCAGCCTCCGCAGAAACCCCCCAAGGAAGGAGAGTGGACGGCCACCATCTGGGGAAGTCCATCCTGTGCGGAACAACTCTTGCAACATTTTTCTTGATGTCTGATTAAAATCTGCTTCCTGGTAATTTGAGCCTTTGTTTCTTGTTTGGTCTTCTGGAACGACACTGAACGTGCCTGTCCGCTTTTCGGGCCCTGGAGAGCAGAGCCGAAGGCCTCCGACACTTTGACTGTTGTGCAACTTTCCCTCCAGGCTGGGATCGTCTGGCCTGCTCTGCTGCTGCTGCTTCTTCCCTGTCCTTCCTAAGTGCAGGGCCTGCCCCGTCCTCCCCCAGCCAGGGGGGCTCCTTGCCCTGAGCTGGACTGCCCAGGCCCCTGGGACTCATCCTGCTGACGGGTCAGCTTCGGATCCATCCAGACCCCCAGATCCGCCTCTTATGCTTTGCTGCCCAGCAAGGGTTCTCCCCCCCCCCACGTCCAAAGTCAGGCCTTTGATTTTTCTGTTTCTCCCTCTTGCAGTCCTCATTTCTGCCCAATATTCCAGCTCCTAAAATCTTCCTGAATGGTGAGACTGCCCCCCCCAAACATCATTCTTTGACTTGCCTGTGGGGTGTTTTTGAGCCCCTCGTCCTCACTCTTCAGAAACATGCGGAAGGGAGCCCTGCAGTGGCCACGCCACCCTTTGGCCGGTTTCACGTAGCCATTGGGGCGACCCCTTTAACGCCTGGGCCCCCTAAGGATGCCTCCTGGAAGGGTGAATCCTGTGGGCCTTCCCCGGGAACGCCTGCTCCCTCTTTGGGCCCAGCAGGTCCCCCTGCCTGGCTGCTGCTCTGACCCCCGGCTGCTTCCAGACCTGGCTTGGCTGAAGTGCTCCCCCCTCCTCCCCAAATGCTGTGGGGCAGCTGACCAAAGGCCTGCCTGATCTGCAGGTTCCTCCAATCGCTCTTGTTATTTCAGAGCAAAAATGGAATAAAATGCTGCTCGAATCAGAGCTTTGCACTTGGATTTGGGTAGAATAATCTTGCAGGGGGGGCGGTGGGGGGGCTGCATGTATCTCTGCACCCAGAAATGCAGCCTTCGTGGCATCCGTGGCCATCTGTCCGAGGCTGCTGCGGCTGAGTGAAGCGCTGGCCACACCCGCTGCTTGTCCAGGGAGTCCTCGACTTAATGACCGTTCAAAGTTATGATGGACTTTAAGAAGCTACAAGTCATCCTCAGCGTTACGACTGCTGCGACCCGTCCCTGCGGCCGTAGGAAGGCATGTCGGGGGCCTGGCATCCGTCTCCCACTTAGGACCCACATTCCCACATTCATGTGACCCCCAGTTGTGCCCTTTTCTTTTGGCCGTCTTCCAGCAGAAAACGGGAAAAAACACCCATTGGATATGCTGGATTCGCTTAATGACCATGTGGTTCGCTTAACAACTATAGTCGCTTCACAACCATTGCAAAAACAGTGCAGGCAGTCCTCGGCTTGCATTCGTTCGTTTAGTGACTGTTTGATGTTACAATGGCACTGAAAAAAGGGGCCCATGACTGCTTTTCTCACAACCGTTGCAGCCTCCCTCAGGGTCAAAAGTCAGACTCTCAGCAGCTGACTCGTATTTACGACGGTCTCAGCATCCCGGGGTCAGGCGATCCCCTTTGGCGACCTAAGCAAAGACCATGGGGGAGCCGGATTCACTTAACAAATGTCTCACTTAGCAACAGAAATTTTGGGCTCAATTGTGGTTGTAAGACGAGGACTAGGTGAAGTGAGCTCAAGTGTGGCCACTTGGTGCCTGAACTTACAGCTGACATTCTAGGCTCCATTTTGGCCATAAGTGGAGGACCACCTGTAGGCTAACCCAGCCCTCCCTCCGGCCAAGCTGCCCCCTCTTTTCCCAGAAGGAGAGGCCTCTTCTGGGCCATCCCTGTCCAAGGACTTCT